AGAAAATGCGTTCAATAAAGTTTCCTTCAATAAAATGATTTTTTCGTTGACTTGGTGGTCGTTTGCCTTCAATTTTTACATGAGTTGTATTTTGTAAGCACTTAGGATGTTCTTCGATACTCTGCTCCACAGCAGCAATAGCATTTACGGCGCATACCGTACCACCGTCTCTGGAGATTCACATTGTTCAATAGAGCAAAAGTGGTGTGAAACCTAACCAATGTTCCTCGAATTACTGACTCTGCGAGGCTATGCTTCGATTTTCAAACGTTGTTTCGGAGTAGACTTACTCCATTATACATCCATTATATATTATATTCACTAATTTTTTGTCTACTTCTCAAAAATTGCCCTAAATATCATTTGACCTAACTAAAACATTAATAAATATTTATATCACAGAAATATTATTATTAGAGAGTTTTGTATTCGTCATTAAAAATTACTGCTATACGAGTATTTAACAACCCAGAGTTAGACAGAGTATATATGTACATATATACATATGTACATACATATACATAACCACGAATGTGTGTCATAGACATATCTTGGTTGCGCTATATTCCATGTGCAAGTGACGAAACAATATTTTTCTAAATCGGCTTTAGGTCATAAAAAATAATAGGTTCTATGCAACTTCCGCTGGAAAGAGTTTTAGTTCAAAACGTTGTCTAATGTATACCAGTAAACCAATGCCTTGTGACAAACAAATTTCATATATTTATAAGAATTTCGGAAACTAACTTACTATTAACTGCACAAAGGTATATTCAAAACTATGCCAGAATGTTTCTTACAAATTTATTAGATAAAATATGTAGATACATACATATGTATATAAAAAAGTATTATACTTCAGAGTTATATATTTTCCTTTAATTGATTAACTTATTCAATCTAGAATATACATATATGTATGTTCGAAATTATTTTCTTATTTATCTGTGAGTGTAAGAAGAGAAGAAATATCCAGTCATAAATTCGTTCGTCTTCAATTACATAACATAGTCTATTATTATTGTTTTTATATAGTATACGTATATAAAGAAAAAACACAAATAAAAAGAGCTTTTATCTTTCACAAGCTTGTGTTGCCTGGGAAAACCCTTCCTACCAGAAAGTATGTAGAAATGTGGTGTAGCAATACGGCTGACATTTCTTTCGCTCGCTTGGAACCGTAACAGATTGCGCGGTGCGTTCAACTCGCGTTAAGATGCTTCTTTACAACGTTTCCACATACTGTTTGCCTGCTATGGAACACATGCTGTGACAATGTTACCGATTCCAAGCGCTCTGATAGTGAGCACACATTCACCAACAACTTTATTTGTTTACTGTTGCCGACAATAAGGATGCGCACGATGATGATGATGGCGCTGCTAATACTCGTTGATGATTTTGGTACGACTTCCTATTCTTATCACAAACAACACACGCCTCTGCCATAGCGAACAGAGTGACGAAATAAAGAGGCAATAATTTTCGGGGTTTAAGCAAAAAACATATGAGTAGCGCTTTAAATATTCCCCTTCACCAAGGCATCAAAAAAGGTACAAAATAATAATAACTTTCAACTAGAATTTGCGAATGAAAAGTTACTGAAAATCTATAATTTAAAAAAATATATATACTTTGGAATCAATTATAAAGGGTGCTCCATTTCCAGGTTACCTACTTTAAAAAATACGCAGACACTTGACATTTAATGGGAAATGTTTACTATCATTCGAAAGAGCATTATTTTGCATTTATTTTGTGATGATTATCTCTTCCTAATGATGGCCGCGGCTACGTCTCAGATGGTACATCCGTTGAGTTCAATTTTTGGCAAATTACTCTCTTGATGTTTTATTCCAAGGCCTCTATCGAAGCCTCATAGTCCTCATAGACTTTGCATATCCCTACAGGAAAAAGTCTAATGGTGTGTTATCAACGGTCTTGATGGTCAGTCGGTCGACCCAAAACGTGAAGTTATCTTCTGGTCGAAGTGTTCTCTCACTAAACGCATTGATTGATGTCCGCAGCTGTTACTCAGTTGCCTGAGAAATTCAAATGGAATCAATGAAAGAGCAATAACTTGACAACACCGTTAGTTCTGCTTTCTCCAGACTGCATAAGGCTGTGAAGCAAATGGGTCTGGTAGTGTGTGAGGGCAAGAAATACTATATCTTCTGTGATCAAACAAACAGTCGTCGCTTCCGTGTTTTTATCTCACTTTTGACAGTCATAACTTCGAACTCGTCATATTGCAACCATCGTTAACGGGCTACCTCGGGTAAAATACAGCATTTTTTCAAAACTTTTTTTCTCATATAAAAAATTAAATATTTTTATTGTTACAAACATACACTATTAACCAAGAAATTCTTAAATTTTTGGAAAAAAATTATTAAATTGCGACGCCAAAATGAAAATTTCAGTGAAAACTTGGCGATTTTTTTTTATAGTTGTAATTGAAAAAAATCCAAGTCTTTAAGAATTGTATGTCAAAGACCTGTGTAAAATTTCATGAAATCGGTTGAGTAGTTCCCGAGAAATCTTGCCAACCGAAACCACAAGTTCTCAAAGCTGTATTCCCGTAACCATTGCTCGGACCCGCTTGAAAATTTAGACAAGAGGTGTTGTATATTTTAATAAAAAAAAATCGATTATGAAACCCGTAAACTCATGTGAGCCCTTAACACCAACAACAATGTCAGCTTCGAAATCTAACGCAAAATAACTCTTGCCAACAAGTGCTACTTCAGACTGAGTAGATAATTGCGAAGTACAGTATTCTCTCGAGAACAAATATTAAACTCTACAAGTCACTCATCATCCCCGGCCTGCTATATGGTGTAGAGGTATGGACGATGACAACATCTAATGAGTCGGGGTTATTAATTTTTGTGTGAAAGGTTCTGTTGAAGACTTATGGTTTACGGCAGTCGTTGACACGATGAGCTGTACGAGATGTACGAGTAAAAAAGTTAATTTTTTTCCAGAATTTTGATTCAGACCACGAAGTAATATATCTGACGCACATTCGCCGGTCTTGTCAGTTGAAAGGTGCAGTGTAAAGGCCAGGTAAAATAGCTTTGAATAATGTGCGCTTCCTATGTTGCTAAAGAGGTGGACCCTTAATTAATGAGGGGTCGGCAATCAGTCGTACTATTTCAAGGTTCGATGGTTCCGCAGGGCTGTACCCTCTCCTCGCTACTGTTTAAATTCTATACTTCGAAACTGCTTGACCAAGAAAAGTGAATATCCATCACCTCATACGCAATAAATCATAAGGCTGCAAGCCAAGGATTATCAAGGTCTTACCATTATCGTGATACTGATACACGGACTTCGGGAGGACTTCAATTATTGAATCTGCAAGGACAGCTGCTGCAGCTGCGCGTCGGGTGGAATGCGTACGTGCCCGACGGCTTCACCTAGTAATCAATCAATTAGCCAAACATACAATGACAGCGGAAGGGTTTGGCAGAGTTTCCTTGTAATCACGCACAAGCAAATGAAAACCCCATGTGATGAAATACCACCGACTCTTCTTTCAAGAGACAGCGTTACCAAAATGGTGAACTAGGAATATGAAGAAAGAGCAGGTTGAGAGAATTATTGGTAACAAACCAAGGCAATTTTCTAATGGGTAGTTATAACCTCAACAAAAAAATTTAATCGATAGACATTGCAAAAAAGAGATTTGGCTACTTGACGCATTCCACACTGGCCACTTAAGCACAAAAAGCACTTGCAATGAACTGCCGGTTCTGCAGCATGGAGCCGAAAAACCCCGAACAACTGCTGATTGACTGCAAAGCAGTCTGCAGACGCAGGATTAAGGCCTTTGCTTCCATGTTTCCATATAGGGATCACATCGCCTCAATATCAAACGAAAACCTTATATATTATCTATTTATGTAAAAATAATCCTTGCGCAACTTTGTTCTGGTTATTGTGGCAGGCTAATCTCCTGCTTATCCAAAATCGAACTTGATATACCAAATATATATCCTGCGCGTAATGACTCCCCGTGTGATTCCAATCACATTTTATACCCAGTGAATGAACGCTCCCGTTTATTTTTCCCATTAGATGACTTCGATGATAAGTAACTTGAGTTCTGCAACCCTAACAGGGATTAGAAAACCGATATGACGGCAAAAGTATTTCCAGCAGAAAATTCCCAGAACAGCCGAAACTTATCCGGCCAAGTAAGTGTGTCAAAATAATCTAAATTCCCTTTTTCCCAATGTAATTGCAGCAGTATCGTCACTTGAGATCAATAACTTGAAAAAAACTGTTAAAATGTTAAGTAATTAAAATACGCTTAATTTTACCTGCAGGCCGCCGACAACAAAATATGTAAGTTTAAACAGAAAATCTGTTAACTTTGACTGCACCGCAAATGTAACATTTTTCACAAATAAAAAAGTTTTCTATGCAAGGACTGGATTTTGATCGATATATACTATATTGGTGGTTCTTCAAATGAGAGCTTTTAGAGAGAACAGGTTATGTAGAAAATTTTGAAACGATATCTCAAAAATTTAGGGTATAGTTTGCGTATATACAGACGGACAGAGAAACATACATCGAAAAATCGACTCAGCTATTCACGCTGATCATATATAAATATATGCATGTACATGTATCCGTTCCCACGTTGATTGGGTCTACGTATCCCGAACGGACCCGAAGGTTTTATCTGTCAGCTCGGCAGAATTACGTCGTTATAACAACATAAACATATGTATATAGGGTCTCCGACGTTTCCTTCTGGGTGTTGCAAACTTCATTGGAAATTAAATATGCCCTGCTCAGGGTACACAATTTAAAACAAAACACTGTGTTTTTAGTATTATATCTTCCAGATGTTTTGAAAACCCTCCGCATTTCAGAAAAGGCATACATATGTATGTACATATACAGATTTACTAATAACTATATATTATATAAACACAATAAATAATCTTAAATAAAATTAAGCAACATTTATTATACCACTTAAAAAAACACATAAGCCAAATATAAATACAATTACACTTAAAATGATAAAAAAAAAAACAGAAATTTCATTCCATTGTCATATCATCTGGTATTTCTGAATCTTCAATTGTACGGCTCGCCGGTATATAAACTTTAAAAGCAAATTTAGATTTCACAAAAGATCCTGTGTTAAGCACGGTGCAACCATGTTGTGTTGTTGAGAAACTTTGGCATGAATCGCCAATAACAACCAAATCGGGCAATGGATACAACCACAAAGCTGAATCAAAATCCCAATGCACGGGCGTAGCAATCGGGTGTATAGGCGTTAAATGATTTTGACATATCAGAGTACGCGCAAAATGTTGTTCGATATTATCTGTATCAGGTGGGAAATGTAACGTGTTGCGGCAGAACTTTGCCATTAAATCCAATCTACAAACGACAATTTGTTGCGTACAATACTGCAGCCGACAAGGATTAGTTGCCAAAATTGTCCGTGGCCATGCTTTACACAAACCAGTTGTGAGCGTTTCAGGTAGTGAGGCACGCGGCAAAATATTTGGAGCTGTTGGGTCTTCACAAGAAGGAATAATTATCAAATCCGTTTGCTTTTTCAGCTGATCGCATCCAGCCGCTAACGTACCCAGTGCCGTTAAATTTTGAGATAGTGAATGGTAATTGCTATTGGAAGCAACGAATGGTCCCATTAGCACTATAGCAACAGGTGGGCATGAATCATAACCCACAAATAACATACGCAATCTGTCTAAAACTACTGGGTTATCTAGACGAACATCTGATAGAAAAACCAGCGTGGCCTCAGTATTTGTACTTTCCAGTTCTTGTAGGCGTGTGGAATATTTCAGTAACTTCACCGATTCTCCACCCCAACTATTTTGTGTACCAAAAAATGCTCTGGAGCTAGTCGCTGCCTCCGCAGGTGGAAATCCTAAGCCATCAACTGAAATAAAATAACTTTAATACAAATGTTACATAAATTATCTTTCAGCATACTGACCTTTAAGGATGCCATTATTGTATGAACCTTCAGCTAAGACGAAACATCCCTCACAAAAGAAACCAGAGTGGAAACGTGTTCCACTTAAGTCCAATTCAATACTACCCGTAGGATCTTCTATGTAAAATTTTCCTTCTTTCAGCTGTGCCAATAGACCAAGTATAACTGCTTCTTTTACCGATGATGTTGCAAGCAAATTCTCTGCGTATTGCAATTTGAATTTTTTCACTTGGGACCCCACTGAAACTCCTCCCTGTATTATAGCTGGAGCAAACAACTCGTGACGTAACGTCTTTTGCAGTAACATTGCATATCTCTCTCGCATGTATCCTGCTTTTAAAGCTGGACGTGTCAATATGGTGCGTAAATTCTTATTTGGTTCAAATTTTTTATTTTGTGCATTATAGTGGTAGCGTGGCACTTTGAACGCATCGATAACCGAGAAAATAGTCTCACCTTCATCCAAACCAACACGATTTATTTCATTAATAGCTTTTTCCAGTGCTCCTCGCTCTACTTGTGTCGTCTGTAAGCGCTGACCTTGCAAGTTTTCAGTGATAACAGTCAACCATTTTTCACGTTCTCCATCATCGAATGGAAGAAGTTGCTCCGCCAAATAAGCACTATTTTCTGACCGTATAAGAAATCCGCTTAGTTTGAAGGAACTTGTTATTTTTCTTTTAAGCTTCGTTAAATCATCCATTTTATTGTATATTTTTCAATATTGATTTGAATTAGGTGAATTATAAAATTATCTGTGTTAAGCCAAAAGATTTAATATATACATTCAAGAAAGTGGCGCCAAAAATATTAGTAAAAAGTGCGACCAAACAATAACCTGAGCTTTTTATGTTAATATACATAGCATACTTTTTAATTTATTACAGAATGCTTTATTCATTTACTATAAAATCAAAGCTAGTAGCATGTAATATAAATACAAATTTAAAGAAAATTATTTTCAGTAAATGTTGTGTATTTAAAGAAATTGAATTCATATTTATAAATGGACATCACTGTTTTTTCAACTTGTCAGCACTGTTTCACAGCTGTTTTATATACATATGATTGCATACAAAAGCAAAGAAAATTGCATATTAAACAATTTATACGAAAGATTCACAACTTTTGGCGAGATATTTGTTAACTCTTAAAATGTTGGAAACTTGTCAAAGGCGTCACATGCTACTAGGGCTCAGCCTATTAGTGGCTGCAACAGTAATAGTTCTCATTATCGAGTCGCATTTTCCTTCCAGCGAGAATACTCGACGCTCGCGAGCTCAACAGTTCGTCATTGAAAACAATTCCACATGCTGGCAGCGCGAAGAATATAGTGTCATACAGGAATGTCATCCGTGCACCGAATTTGATATTGTAAGCAAAAGCCTTGGTGTATGCATACACACGCATTACAAGGAAGTTCTACGTTGTAGAAGTGGGGAAACTGTGACGCGTAGCTGTGATCGTGTCGCGCTTATCGACCAGCGTAATTTCATTAAATTTGAGATTACTTGCTTCTGTATAGGCTCACTTAGCTATCTAGTTTCATATGCCAGAGATCGAATATTATCACGAAGAACACATTTAAAAATTGAACGACAATTGAACCGCATGCAATAACATTAAGAGGTTTGTCTACGATTGAAACTCCGAACTCAAATTCTAATAACAATTGACGTTTTACAAATTTCAGTAATGCAGCTTTAGGCTACGGGGAAATGGATGTGTATGTATTAAAGTTATGAGATTTTAACGATAGGTTAAGTGTATTGAGAATAATTTGTTACGACCGTAATGCTGATTAAAATTTAAGAATGAAAAAATCCAGATTCTTGATTAAAATTAACAACGATATCATCTTAAAAATGGTTAATTATGGTATTCTATCTTAAATTTAAACTTTTATTTTAAGTTAATAGAAATATGTTTTTGTTGTGTTTATCTAAATATGTGCACATATATTTGTATAATAATAATATAAAAGCTTCCAAAAGGGACGCTAACTATAAATTTACTAAATGGAATGCATTGCTAGATTATATAAGAATAAGTAAGATTATATAAGAATAAGTAAGATTGTAAATTAAGTATAGTTCAATTAAAATTTTCGAATAAAATAAATTTAAAGAGTCATTTCGTCAATAACATAAAACGTTCGAACACAAACATTCGTTATCCTCTACTTCCGACATACGAGTAATGTTTTTGTAACCTATTCTAGAATAACAGTTTGCAACTTTCAATGAATTAGTTTGGGTGCATAGAAGGTGCTTCAATAGCTTGGTATAAGTTGATATTGCTCTTCGATATCTTTCCTTGGTTCTTTTTTTATATGAATAACTTATTTCCGCCAATCTGGAATTAAATCCGGCTCAACAATCATTGTGGAGGCATTGCTTAGCTGCATTGAGACATTTTCACTGCCCACCATTCCGCTTGAATCCATAGAAGAGTCTTCGCATTTCGAATCAACGCTGTTGCCATTTCCGCTCTTCAAAGAATTATCTGTCATTGGTAGCGGTTTAGCTACGCCTATACGCACCACTCCTTTGGGTGCACCCTTTAGAGCTTGAACTGCTTGATCTAAAGAAGCATTTTCCAAATTAATAGAATTGACAAATAACAGACGATCTCCGGGTATAAGACGCCCGTCCAATTGTGCTACTCCGCCCGGTACTAAAGACCTTATAACAATTAGCGTATCGTTTGGGTCTAATGGATCTTGGTAGTCTAGTATGGAGAAGCCCAAACCACGATCGCCCTTGACCAGTTCTATTATCTGCGGCTCGGACGACCACATTGCAAGTCCTGTAAGTGGCTCCAGTGAGCGTGATTTAAGCTTGTTGAACGAGTCGTCGTTGACCGAACCAGCAGTGGCCAAGCTGCCATCGGATTTGGCTTTCACCAAACGATCAGAAGTCGGCATTAAATTCTCAAAATTGCTACTTAATTTCTTTAAGGTGTCATCTGAGAATGGCATTAAAGCATTCTTGCCTCGCCCACAGACCATACGTACATCTTGTGGCAATTCCTTGAGTATAGCAACTACTTCCAAATGATTCATTCCGAGCAAACGTTCGCCATTCACTTCCAATAATTCATCACCAGATCGAAGAACACCGTTTACACCAACAGGGCCATCAGCCAGTATTGAACGGATATAATGGTGAGGCCGAACTTCACGTCCACCTTCCACATCAACGGTTCCTTCCAAAGAAATTCCTAAACCACCGACTGCAAACTTTTTAATCTGCGCAACTATCACATCAACGTCGGGACCGACAATCTTTTTCCATTTGTGTATGATTTCCTGTTCAACATCTGGAGTTAACTCAGGATCAGTATAGTATTTATGCCGAGAAATTAAAGTTGAATTCTTAGCATGCATTGGTTCCTTTAAATACACAAGTTAAGTGAAATTTCAATAACCACTAACGATTTTACTTACTTCTACTTCAGTTAATTCACTTTCAGACTTGCCAATCGAACCTATGGAAACGTCTGTAGGTATAATTTTGGGTGTGCCATCAATGGAGTCACGTACTGCTATCATTTTTTTACCCGATCCAAAACTGCTTAAAGTAGTTGTAGGTATTGACGTAGTAGTTCCTGGCGTGACAGCCATAAATGAATCTGGGACGATGGCTGATGATAAATTAGAAATACCATCAAAAGATAGGTCATGCGAATCTTCTGCGACGTGAGTCGGATATTGTGTTTTAGCCACAGACGATGTGCGTTGTGATGTGACTGGCGTAATGGGAGAAGGCAAATTAACTCTTGAAGGTGTTGACGGAACACTTGGTATTTTATCATTGGCAGCAATAGCCTGTTGCAATTGTTCGTACTTTGGACCACGTAAGTAACGCTCCAAGCGTAAATTAACTACTTGTCCTGATTTCTTGAGCAGCTCTACCGCTTGGTGATTCGAGAAACCTTGCAACGATTGACCATCCACCTCAATAATGCGATCATTAACGCGAATACGTCCACTCATATCCGCAGCAGATCCTGGTGAAACGCTCTTTACAAATATACCTGAAAGTTCTTCTTTTTCGCAGACATATCCAGCTATAGTAATGCCAAGACCATTCATGTCTTTAGTCAATTCAACTTGTAGTTTCTCAGTTTCGGGTAAATCCAAAAATTCAACTAAATCGATAGTCGGTACTGCCATTGGTGGACGTTTAGAAATATCATCCGAGCGGTAAATAAATCTTTCATCTTCTGTTGTAGTTTGTGGCGTAGACGCAGTAGAACTTTCACCGAATATCTCCGGATAACCAGTAGAAATTAAGTACCGTTCTAACTCCACAGGATCCGCTAAAACACGCGTGGGTACTATAGCACTTCCAGGTTCTAGTGTAAATTGTGCAGGCGATGACTGCTCCATAGGACGCGCCACTACGAGGCGCACGTGCGTACCTGATTGCCGCAGTACTGCTGCCACCTGCTCAGACACCATATCATGCAAATTTACATCACCGATTTGCAAAATATGATCTCCAGAACGCAAGCGTCCATCACGATCTGCAACCCCACCTGGTAAAATAGTTTTCACAGTCACACCTGATGTGCGCGCACCAATTATTCCGAATCCAAGACCAGTACCATCATTAACCAACTCAATGGCCTGTATTTGAGCATAGTCTGCAGCGAAGAGATCGCTTGCTATTTTAGAATTCTGAGAATGTGGACGTCCTTGTTCGTCGGATTCGAGTGCTCCCGTCAATACAGAAGGTGTAAGTTGTCCACTCCCTGGACTACTTGGACCCGAATGAGGAGAAAGTGGAGCAGACGAAAAATCATACATAACATCACCACCGTTAATACTCAACACCAAATTTCCAGCCACGTCGATATCAAAATCATTGGGGAGCATTGATGGATGTTGCGCTAACTGAGCATTTAATTCGGAAAGGGAATCCTGTACGTGAACAATTGTACGAAAAACTGGATCCTGTAATAAATCTAAAATTGTTTTAAGGCTCTCGGCAGTTTGCATTTGCAATTTTGGATCTTCAGATTCATCGATGCCCTTTTTAACAGCTTCGATTTGCTGCAGGGCACTAGAGATGTCCGCTCCCAAATGCATTGTAGTATTGTATATCCGTACAAGCACAAATAAAATATTATAACACGAATATATTTGATAACGATCTATATAATTTTCATAGGACAGAAATTTTCCAAATTTTTTCGTTTTTCCTTTGCTTAGCTAATTAAATTTAAACATGTGCTGCCTAGTTTTAATAGAAATAGTATTGCCATTTCAAGCTATTTGCTTTGTTTTTGTGTTTCACCTTTGTACCATTATTCGTAAATATTTGTATAAAAAAATCACTTAAAGCGAATTACACAGGAATTCATCTTCTATGGCTAACCCTAGTTTCAGAGGTGCGATTTTGAACAAAAAGGTTTCAAAGAAAGCGTTAAAGATTATAATGGGTAAGGTTATAACGGGATAACCGTTAAAACAACAATAACAACAGCTTAACGAATGATGATAAGCTTACAAGTTACTTATAAGAAGGATGAATAATGGATGGTGGCAAGATACATGATTTGATAGGTGTTGCCGCATTCCTGTTGATGAATTCTGCCGAGTTGACAATTCGTGACCGGATAAAAAATCCGGTTCCGTTTCGGTTACGTTGACTCGACTGCCGTGTTAGCTGCTCCCAACGCATTCCTCTAGTAGTGTCTCTATATGCTAAAATGCAGCAATCTCATATTGTTAAGCTAAAATGCGGGTGCTGATCACCATAAAAACTCGGGAAAAACCCGTTTTATGTCTCTGCGTGGAGCCATTTCCTCGAACTTGTTCGGTCTAGTAACAATAATTTATAATCTGATTGTTGACGAAAATCACAAAAGTATTTGTTTTCAGCGAAAGTCAATTGGTTTGATCAAATATTCAATAACGAAAACATAAATTAGTTTGTAATAACGAATTGGAGCATTCCATTCTCAGCCCACATGAATCGCACCGAACTCGATTACTATGCAGTATTAAATGTGCCTCATGATGCGCCCAAGGAGAGTATAACGTTGGCGTATCGCAAATTGGCCATACAGCTGTGTCCCCATCGCGATCCAAAGTATGAACGTGACTTCGTTCCTCTTTTGGGACCAACACATATGGAACCTTTGTCATCTAATCGCCAATGGGAATATATTAACATGGCCTATGATGTTTTAGGTAAGAACAACAGCGTTACAATACACATATGCCAACATTTTTAAGGCGATAATTTGTAGGAAACGATTTGTATCGAGCCATCTACGATCGTTTCGGTGAGGCTGGACTATTTCAAGGCATTCAATTGCCTAACGGTTACTTTCCGCCTTATCAATATCATGGTGACCATATGAAAGTATATCATGACGTTTTTGGCAGCTACTCGCCTTACGCAAATATCATCGACATCGTTACGAACCCACCTTTGCTCTATTCTACATTGGAACATGGCATTGGAGTACGTAAGAAAGACCCGCCGGTAGAGAAAATTATTTATCTGGAGTTAGAAGAAGTATTCAAAGGTTGTACGAAATTAATGCACGTCTGGAGGCAAGAGTTCATTGACACGAAGGAAACACGCACAGAGAAAAGGTGGAGATAATAATGCAAGCAATTTATAAACGTCTACAAAAATTATATTTTTGATTCTTAGAAAGAAAACTCTTAAACTCAAGATACTACCAGGCACCACCCAAGGCACACGATTTTGCTTTAAGGAGGAAGGTGACCGCAGTCCCACGAAAATACCAGCAGATATTATATTTATAACAGCTGATAAACCACATCATCTATTCGAGCGCAGCCACCATCATGATTTAATCTATACCCATAACATAAGTTTAAGGGACGCGCTTGTCGGCTTTAGCTTCACAATTAAAACATTAGATAAGCGTGCTCTGAAAATAAACGTGTCCGATGTGGTATACCCTGGCTATATGAAAATTATGCCAAAGGAGGGACTTCCAGTTTGTGAAAATTTACCAATTGCTCCTGATATGAGACCCGCTGGATTGAAGAAGACGAAGTTTGGCGATCTAATTATAAAATTTCAAGGTAAGACTGAAATGGGAAATAGATACTCGTATGGCTGTGGTACGCAGTTACATTAGATATAAAACATACTCTTAGTCATACGAAGGAATATAAACCGGATATTCGAATAAGCGGTTTTCAGGTTATTCGAATAGTTTTAAGAGCTCTTGTCTAAAACCAGTTTTGAGTCAACGAAGGTTCATAAAAATTTGTTCGTCAGTTCATGAGGTGTATTTAATATTTGAACAGCTCAATTGACGGGCCTGGCACATAGCCCTAACCTTCAAGAGGCACGTTTATAAATTTAACAGCTGTTGGATCATTAGTTTGTGAATTATATTATTTTGAGTGAAGGACTTTAGTTCTTGTAAAAAAACGGATATAAAGGAATTTCGCATGTTGTTTAAAATATTACTTTTTGAAAGAAATATATACAGTTGATGCTGAATTTGGCTTGATGACGAGTTCCCGGACAATGTTGCAGAAAAATCAGCCACCAAAGATTGTTGGTATGACGTAGTAAAATACTCACCGAAGGCAGTGAACACAATAGACCGTCGAAAGCATTAAAAAGTCCACAAAAAAATATCAACTGAACGTGTACATCAGAGATCATTCACGAATATTTGAGTGTGATAAAGCTCTCTGAAAAGTGAGTGGGCCGAAGTGCCCGATTTTTTGTGTCGATATGTGACATTGGATGAAACATATGAAGCTCTGTCATTTCACTCCGAAGTCCAATCGAAAGTTGTCCAAGTGACCTGCATACGTTGAACCTGCCCCAAAGCGTGGAAAAACCTCGACAGGCAGCTGACAATGTTAAGGGGACTGCGCGTCCAATAATTTGTATTGACTATCTTGGAAATGGAAGAATCATCAACAGCGCCTATTACATGGTATTATTCGACCATTTGAGAGAAATCGCCAACAAAAGGTTGCATTTGAAGGAAAAGAAAGTGCTATTTCACCAAGACATTGCATTCTTCCTCAAGTCAGTAAAAACGTTGTGAAGAATCCATGAACTGTTCTTTGAATTGCTTCCGCATCCACCGCATTCTCCCGATATGACCCCTATCTACTATTTTCTATTCTTAGATATTAAAATAATGCTTACTTGGAAAGAAATTTTCGCCGAATGAAGAGGTGATCGCCAAAACTTAGATCTATTTTGAAGCAAAGAATAAATCGTACTACAAAAATGGTATCGATTAGCTGGAGGGCCGCAATAAATAGTGTACCACTCTTTAAGTAAACTATGTGTAATAAAAAAAAAAACGAATTTTGGCAAAAAATTCTTTTACTATGGTAGGCCGAACTTCTCAATTTGTTACTTACAATGTTGCTCATACGACATGGCGTACTATAAGAATACAGTACATTTGATGCATAACTTTAACTGTGTATAATTTTTAAAGGAATATTTTTATGAAAAAAATAATAAGGTCTGTTTTGTAGAGCTGAGAATTTTTTAATGGACTATCGTCTCTTCAAAGTTTAATTTCTTTGGAGGTAAAAAATTTATTGTAAAATATCAAAAGAATCGCATATAAAATATGTAAGAAGAGTGAAATTATAAATTGAAAATAAAGAGCTTGTTTACATTTAATCTGAAATACTTTCTTTGTAGAAATTTAAGCTTGTATTGCTGTTTTATGGTCAACATCAAATTTATTCTTTAAAGACTAGTACATACATAGTTAAAGTTTATGTGATTACTTCTAATTGGTGCGTTCTTTTCAGTTGAATATCCGAGAATTATGACACATAAAATGCGGAACATAACTAAGGAATTCTTCGATGAATTGGAAGATTTGGAAGAAGAAGCTGAAGATGCTCCACACCCTATTCACACACTTATGCAAAAGAGAGGAGGAAGAGGCAAACTCTAAACTGAGAGGCCGTTAGTAACTACCCATTCAAGAAATACGGGATAACGGTGTTTTCGAAATGTGTATTTTTATTATATTTTGTTTTAAATTCAACGATGTTACGTTGTTTTCGGAAACCTGAATTCATATTTTATACACGTGCATACATATATCACAAATCTTATAATCGATCGGAAATTTACAGAAAAAACTTTGTTTTGAAATAAAACAGAACTTTACCACGTTAAATATTATGTCACAAAGCAGGGTGGCAAATTTTATATTTCTCAAAAATTTTTCCCAAACCATTTGAATTAAAAATTGTGAATTTTATGGTGTATGACATAATACCGACAAATCAAGATGCTGGCCATTCAAAATACGGACAAATCCTATGGGATCACTATGCTGGACTATGTTAATATCGTCGAATATCTCGTACAGCTCATCGCACCATCGACTGCAATATTTGCCATTGCCAATGCGCAAAGGACCATAAATGTTCAACCGAACTTATCTCTCGTACACTCGTAAACTCGTAACGCCGACTCATTAGATGTTAGTGATGAATGGCTTGTAAAATATTATTTTTGTGCATCCAGAGGGGACTTTACTGCTTAATTGCCTACTCAGTCAGAAGTAGCAGCTGTTGGCAAGGGTTATTTTGCGTTGGATTTCGAGGCTGACGTTGCTTTTGTTGTTAATACTGGTTCCAAGATAGACGAAATTATCTACGACTTCGAAGTTATGACTGTCAACAGTGACGTGATAGCCAAGTCGCGAGTGCGATAACTGTTTGGTCGATGACAGCAGTTATTTCATATTGTCCTCATTCACTACCAGACCTATTTGCCTCGCTTCCTTATACAGTCTGGAGAAACCAGAACTAACGGCACGGTTGTTGAGGTCAATGATATTACTCTTATAGCAGATTCTACCCTTCTACCTTCCCTATTCAGATCTGAAGTTCAAATTATTTTGTTTTAGAATTAGACTGAAGTAGTTGCAAGAAGTACTTTCATAGGTAGCAGCCTTGTCTGAAACCTCATTTGGTATTGAACGGCTCAGGGAAGTCCTTCCCGATCCTGATGGAGCTTCTGGTGTTACTTAACGTAAGTTTACACATCCGTTTGAGATTTGGCGCTGGGTCAATTTCTTTTCAGTTGTTGATTTTCCAAACTTAAAGTCACACTAATAAGGTCCAATCAGTTTGTTGACAGTGGGCTTTAATCTTCCACACAGTATACTCGTTAGAACCTTATATGGAATATTGCGAAGCTTAGTTGGCGCACACTGTGGGGTCCCCCCTTTAAATTTAAATTCCAATCGTCAAGTATGCTTTCGTCCGGCCACATTCTACAAAGAAAGAGTTTGAATAGCTCGGCCGGCATCCATCGATCCCTGCCGCTTTTTTATTTTTCAGACGGGTAATTGCGATTCGCACTTCTTTATGTATTACTTCATTGAGAACCACCCGTTTCGTACCGATGTTTTCGCAGTAAGCCCTACTTTTATAACGATTGTTTCGCTAAAGTAATTTATGATTTTTTTTTTTTTAAAGAAAACTAGAATAAATGGTTAGTTGTAGACGTGTGAGTAAGTAGATAAGTTAAAAATATATTTATATTTAAAAAAATTCGTTTAAATCTTATGCAATTAATATTACAAAAAGTAATAAACTCAAAAAATTACACTCATACATATATGCATTTATATATATATATATGTAAATTTTTTCTTTGTAACAATTTTCGTTTTAAATTTGCCGCTTGTCATGCATGTACAGACAAATGTTTTACATGCAAATGCATGTGTGTTGCACATGAAACTGCATGTTCTGCATTTACACTTAATTCACATAAATTTGACTACTTTGAATTGTCTAGAGAAGTTGGAGTATAATATTATTCGATAATTGAATATTTAAATGGCACATTCATGATCATACGATTTTTTTTTTTATTGTTTTCACTTAAGTTAAAAATTTAATATTTATTTTTTTGCCTACTGCGATTTGTTTCTTTTGACTTTTGCTCCAGTTTCCACGTGTTTTTAATGAAAGTGCTGCAGACAAAGTTTCTTTTTATTAAGTTTTACTCCTAATGCTTATATGTAATGTGATGTTTAAATTTTTTATTTTTTTTTTGTTTTATAAATATACATATTCGTGTCTATGACCTTTGTGAAGTTGTTGTGGCGTTAATTAAAACCATCGTATAATATAATATTAAAGATTTTCTTATAACCAATATTTTTATGAGAATTTTTCTCTAAGTTAAAAAAAATAACACAATGCAACCATTTTTCGATCAAAAAGCTGTCATCTTGCAGGCCAATAGAAACTTAACCCCAGACTCCGTTTGACATTTATTCATGCTTAGCTCTCAGATGTGCCTCTGTTTGCTTCCCATCAGCTGATAGGTTCTCTACCCCCCTCCCTTTACGATGACTAAAACTAACTTAACCTTCAAAGAAAAGGCAATTTTATGGCCTTCTCACTCTTTAAATACAATTTCACATTTGCTTTTTGAATTCGCTTTCTAACCTTAAATGGCATAGCTTTCCAGTATATCAGCTTAGACCAGGAAAAGTGTCATAGGAAAATGAAAAATATATCGGAAAAAATTATATACATAAGCATCAATATTCTCTCCTCTCGTTTTTTCGAGGCTTATTGAAAAATTCTTCCACTCGTTTAAATCAATTTCGAAATTTTTTACATTTAACTTTTTTACGAGTATTTTTTCTCAGTTGTACTTTTTTAATTTTGCTTTATTTTGATATTTTTGTATCTTTTAGAGATTAAAAACAATTTCATTCATTGCGTTCTCGTGTTATATCTCCACATATATACACTCCACTTAAATTTTTTTTTATACTAATTTTGATCAAATTGTTTGCATACTGTTGTTTTGAACTGAAGACGACGTTCCAGAATTTTGTCCGAAAAGGCACATATTTGTATTAACTTTTCACCTGATCATTACTAATGATCCTATATACATATGCATGAAGAACTAACTCATCACTTGACTCTATGTCTGTTTAAATTATTAATGTTTTTGAAAATTTCTTTGTAATCATGTTTAACGGTTATTTTCCTCACATAAAACCTATTGAACAAACTTATTTCAATAGCCGTTACAACGTATGCCACTGTAAGTACCATTCATACGCCCATAGGTGTAACCTCTTCCATCGTATGCGGAGCCGTAACCTGATCGCAAATTCAAAGGCATTTGATAAGGCGACGAGGGCGAGCTGCTGGCCGATCTGGCAGCACTATATTCGAAAGGCATCACATAAGGATTGAGGGCGTTGCGGCCGTACATCCACATATCGCGGTGGTTACTGTTAGCACTAATGGGGTATTGGTACGACTGGGCTCGTTGGTACGGGTGTGCGGGATGTATTGGCGGATGTGGGTAGTGTGGATACAGTCGTTGATGAAGCGATTGGTAATTGCTATTTTCTGCATATCTCCGATTAATATAGTCTTGTTGTGCATATTGTTGTTGTTGTTGTTGTTGCTGCTGTTGCTCCTTGTATTGTTGTAACTGATTAAGTTCGTGTTGTTCCTGATCCTGTTTAATTTGTAACTGGTATTGCTGCTGTTGTTGATGTTGGTGAGCTTGTTGCCATGGTTCCTCGACATCTAGAGGCTCGTAGTTGTCAGTGAAGCTGTGACAGTCCGGCGGACTCAATAGAAATGTCTCGAAAAAACGACCGATTTCAGTGGAGCCAAAGGCTTGTTGGAAGCCAGGCAGCGGAGTCATATCCTGTTTAAAGACAGATTTTGAATATAAGTATATAAAAAAAATAAAAAATAGTGCGTTAAATTATTTAGCGATTTTAAAATAAAAAAATATCTAAAAAAGAAAAAACTGAGAACCAGAAACGATGGTTTTGAAAATTCGAATATCGCAATTTCTTACGAATATAAACAGAGAAACCCTGAGCAAACTACCTACCCTCTTCTCCTTCGTAGTGTCGCTCGCATCGCCTCCCACATTATCCTTTTGCCACTTGCCTGAAATGGGGTTCAATTTCCGTTTCGATTTTCTGCTTGGTATGAGGTCACATTCCATAATGCGATTTTTGTTCGTGCGTATTGACGCAGCAGCTGCTGCCGCCGCCGCCGCAACTGCAGCCGCTGCCGCTGCAGCAGCCGCTGACGTCGGAGCTTTTAATTGCGTCAGTGGTGGTGGCACATGGGCATATGGATTCATGTTTGCGATGCTGGTTGTACGACAATAATCGATTGGTGAATTTTGCGGTGGAGCTGGTGGCACGGGCGGAGACGGTAGTTCTTGTTCTTGCAACGCAGTAGGCTCCAAATGTGGTTGACTTTGTGGTGTGGTCGGTGGCGGGGCGCGTTTGTTATTATTACTGCCAGCGGTGCCTTCAACAATTTCTCCTACAGCGTGAACACTTTCCAGATGGTGCTTATGAGTTTGCTGCTGGTGGGGAGGCTGCTCCTTACCTTCTTTAGATTCACTTTTAATTTCTATATTTCTGCAAATTCCCTAAAAGTGCAACGGTAGATAATATTAGTACATTTTGGTAAACATAATAGGACTTTAGGGTTACATGGGTTTACGGGTTTCAAAAAATCCAATTTCTTTTTATTATCCTATTAAATTCTACAACACCTCTAGAGTACTATCCTAAATTTTCAAGTTGATCTTAGTAATAGTTTCTGAGATACAGTCTGGAGAACTAAGCTACGTGCGCCGTCTTCAAACGTGTTTTTCTCGAAAGTGTGTTTTTTGAGTCGGTTGGCAAGATTTATCGAGAACTACTGAACCGATCTTCACGAAATTTTACACAATTCTTTGAGATACAATAATTAAAGGCTTCGACGAAGGTTTTTTTCGATTTAAATTCGCTTCCGCAGCCGCCTTACAGCCCACATGGAGCCCCCCCCGCACTTTTTTTTTGTTTCCTTGCCTGAAAAGGCCGATGAAAAGTAAGCATTTTGAGAAGACGGAGGGGATCCTCTCAAGGATATTCCGGAGAATCCCTTACGTGACGTCTTCTTGGCGTGGAAATCGCGCTGGCTGGATTGGTTCAAAAAAATTTTTTTTTTAAATCGATTCAATCCTAATGCTTTCCGGGTATACCTGTATAAAAAATTTTAATAACTTTGTATCGCTAGTCATGTAATGTATAATTTAAAAACAGGGCCAAAAAATTGGTTTACTTCCGCTTGATTTTTGTTTTCTTTGCATTATACCCGGTATTATGGCTTTTAAAAGCGGTGTCCATCCAAATTTATTCTCCCTCCTACGCATTTCTCTATGTACTCGTACATATGTACATATAAGACTCTCTTATATTTTTCTCTCTCTTGCGTTTTTAACTCTCTTTTATGTATTTTACACACTGTTACCTACTAGAATGTGTCGGGGCAAAATTGCACGCCGCCTTTTGCCAGTACTCATTGACCTCATGCAATTATGGGCGGGGGTTGGTGAAGTACGTAAACACTTCCGGTCGATACAGCCCTGCTAGAGAGCCCCAACGTGACAATGATTTTTCATGTTTGGCTTTGGCTCTGCCTAGAAAAATACATTCTTCGTTTTTCTCCTGCTTGATAAATATGCTCAGGCGTAAATTTTATGCTCAAAACTAAATGTATCAGAGGGTGTGCCTATTCATATTAGACATGTAAAAACATTCACTATTAGGCGTTGATGTAGTCTATGCAGTTAGGAGCACTGAAATTGTTCCAAAATTAAAGTGAACCTAACATTAGAACATCAATAGAGAAAAAATTTCCATAGGTACAGCTCTTTTTGAACCTATAAGTGAAGTTATTGCGTTTTAAATATCAGTATGTTTGTGTTATCGGTGGAAAAATGAGCATCGAACAAAGAGTCAACATTAAATTTATTTTAAAATTGGTAAAACTTTTACCGAAGCGCTTCAATTTATGAAACAAGTTTATGGCGATGATGGCCTATCCCGTAGCAGAGCGCACAGGTGGTTTCAACGTTTTCAAAGTGGTCGTGAGGACATACGTAAATGACAATCAACATCTGGGCCTATCCAAATCCGTGATCACCGGAAATTCCATCGATACTCTGCGTGAATTCCTCAAAAATCAGCCGAAATCATCATTGAAATTCATGGAAATGGAATTAAACATCTCCAAAACATCGATTTATCGCATTTTGACCGAAGATTTGGGCTTGCGAAAGGTTTGTGCACGATTTGTTCCGCACCAATTGACTGACGACCAAAGATTGCTCAGAATCGTCTCACCGATCGACGCTTGTCACCGATTATTTGACCAAAAATCACTTATTAACCATTAACCACTCCCCGTATTGACCTGATATGGCACCGTGCGACTTCTTCCTTTTCGGAAAAATGCATTAGCCCATGAAAGGAAAGCGTTATGCAGACTTGGAGGCCATTTAGAAGGCTTGCACTGGCATACTGGCGGCTATACCGGCCAACGAGCTAAAACACTCGTCCGACATGCTTTTGGACCTTCCAAAAATATATTGAAGCAGAAGTAGATTATGTTGAATAAAATAAATAGATTTTGCGGAGCAAATCATTTGTTCTGCTTTTTTTAAGTCCTGTTTACTTTGGAACGCTCCTTGTATATACTTATAGTATATTATATATTTTCGAACTCTTACCTCTTGTGTATTTAAAGCTAGCTCATGAAGGGATTCTTTTGTGCGAGTGGCATTTGCAGGTTCCTCTCCATTATTTTGAGTTTCTGTTGAATCAATGTGTAACGATTTAGCCGATACCGAAAGTTTGGTCGATTTGCCTGTTTCCTCTGCTTTGTCGTCTGTAAAGATTCCACAAAAAAGTATGTCATTATTACATTGATAGGATTTATAGGGTAGGGATTTTACTTGAGAGATTTTCATATGTTGCTTTCAGTTGATATACCCACTAACAAATAATCATTTCTTTACTTGGCAGCGGTTAGAATTGAAATTTACTCCATGCATAATTAAAGAAAATGTTCCCATTTAGTTAGAACTTTATTACCAAAAAGCTTGCAAAACCCAATTTTAAAGTTATTTTATATGAATTTAACACTAGTTATTATGCGACATACTACACATTATTGGAAGCGCAAAATTTGCATGAAACATTGTATTGGGCATATGGGACAAATAATCCTACAAAATGCGAGGCGTATATAATTAATTTCTCCATATATCTATATGTATGCGAAGAAAGATTTTCAAAGTTCTACTGTATGCCTCTTGTTCTATAGGGTTTATATGGAGAACGAGTATTGTGTATGCAATGTATATAAAAAAACCAATACTATATAACTTCTCACTTTTATTTTTATTACTCATTCGTCACAGAAATATTCCATTGAGCTGAAGGAGAGCACTGCCTAACTTGTTGCACAAAGCGTGTGCCAGTCTTGTTTATTTCATTAACATCTTCTTATGGATTTCCCTTTACTAAACCTCCCTGCTATTGTGTGCGATAATGAGCATTTAAGAAACATTAAGAGAAAACAAATTTAAGAGCGTCTACTTTGAAAAGAGTTTTATATGTGGGAAAATATGTCTAAAGTAGGTGTGTGTAGTTCGTAGGTACCGCTCAATGCTGAAATGCACTTGGACCAGGCAAAAAAAATAAAACCTGCATTAATACACCCTTCCTTGAGTGGCGAAAAGGCACACACCACTACGCTAAAAGCTCGGTGCGCTCACTGAAAAAAACGACGAGGGAAATCAATAAAAAATTGTATGATTTTTTTATTTTTATTTTTTATTTATTTTTTTTTGGAATTTCAAGATGTAGAATTTTTTCAAGACAAAATATTATATAACAATAATAGGCGGAGAGGAAGTCGCTGTACAGTGGTTATAAGGCGATAATGACGAGTTCTCACAACTTTTAGCAAAATATTGGCTTATGTTGGGAAGATTTTGATATTTATTATATACCAGGAGGTGCCATATGTAGAAGTCCACGCAAATTAGGACAGTTCTTTGAGCGCCACTCTCTTGGGAATGGCCAGAAACGACTGTTTTACATATGCTCACATATAGCTCACGACTTCCGGTCTTGGCCAAGTATCCTCTGAATAGCCAAAAAACTTCCGTTTGAAGTCAAACTAAAGTGAGCAGGCGAATCATCCTTCTACAGTGATGTGTTCTGGGTTTGGACACAACGGCCTCGGATGGGTTGTTATAAACTTCGCTGTAACCGTATAAGCGGTGTCTACGCCAATAAAAAAGAAGAAGATATGCGCCTATATGTACGGATACACGCACCATCTAGTGTTAGTATAAATTCAGATGGACTCTAATTTTTTTGGCCATCACATTGCTGAAAAGCCAGAAAGTGCGCAAAACTGATAACTTTCGCATGTATACTATATATACATATGTATGATGTATGTGTATTAGGGTGTGCGTTATTTCCCAAGTAGACTACGTTTTTTGGAAAACGCCGCCAATAAGGATCCATTTATATCATTTTGCTTTTCCCATGTATACAAGTTGAGAGTTTTTAATATTTTAAATTAAGCAAGTAATTCTATAACCTTGAAAAAGCGCTGGACTAATACATAATTTTCTGCTCTATTTTGTTTGTTTGTTTCGATTGATCTTTTGTTTATTAAAAATATTCCCTTAAAAGTTATATCGTAAAAACAAAGTATCATCAAAAAAAAATCGAAATTGAGTTTTTATTGTTTACCATTCACTACATCATATTATATATATAGTATGTAGCATCAAATTATCAACTTAAGCTAACATATAAAACAAATATAAATATAAAGATTTTATAACCAAAACTCAAATTAGAGGTTTCTATTATATCGCTATTATATTGCTTCGCCTGTAAGCTTATGAGAAGTGATGTTACGTTATTTTGCATTTTAGGTGACCAAATGGAGTAAAAGTTGTACATCAAATGATATGTGCATTCATACCAGACATTCCTACGTTTTTTGTGTTGCTCATACGACATGGTGTACTATATGAATGTAGTACATTTGATGCATGACTTTAACTACGTATAACATTTAAAGCAATGACTATCTGAAAAGAATCATTCGTAACTTTTTTATTTTTATAGAGCGAAAAATTGTGTTTCGGAATATCGTTTTTCAAAGTTTTTGTTTTGTCAATTTTCTTTGGAGTTAAAGAATTACGTTGCAACCTAATCTTTATGGTAAAAACTGAAACTGCAGAGGGTGTTTGTAAAACAACAACCAACTTAGTTAATAACAGACACCCTAATGTATATATATACATCTGTACATACATGTAGTGTATAGGTACACATGTAAGTTCAAGCATCAACGTTCTGCGAATATTGATTAACTCTCACAGCAGTTGCTGCAAAGCCACAGCAAGCGAAGTGGCGTTGGTGGCAACATCTCTGATAAACGCTCAGATGAACGAGTGTTTGTGGCAATGAATGCCTGTTTAGCTGGGCTGGATTCATGCATATGTGTGTGTAAATAGATGGCTATCGCGATTTGTACTTATTCAGTGAAGGCAAACAAGCGTTTTAAAAGATTCTCCACAGTGTAGACGTAATATCACTTTCTTCCCAGGGACTGGGTTCCATTACTCATTCGAGGCATTAGTAGATTGTAGACAACTACGCTCGTCATGTTTTATGACAGGACGTCATTATCGCCAACACCAACAATGTTGCCATCACAACCACCAACTGAGCAGGTCGAATGATTCAGAGCTACTTTTTCCTTAACCAATTTTGTATACTTATCTCAACGCATAGACTTAGATACATACATATATTGGTTATCAAAGATTGAGGCACAATAAGTAAAGTGAAGTTTTTTTTTTATGGAACAAGAAAAATTTTAAACAAAAATATTACATACATGTGTGTATGTTATTGGACTCCAAGACAGTGGTCATTGCTTTTGACAGTAAACCAAAGCTTTTGCCGCCAAAGTAACGGTTTTCTTTTTGCTAAGGTTTCATTCTCTTATGTATGTGAATACGTGTGTAAAATGTTGGCGAAAGACACACTGTCATCGGTAGAATTTACACGTACACATGAATATATACAATTAGGCAAAAGAGCTTGCCACAGTGCGGCAACAAAATTATTTCAGTGTAAGACTATGTTGCAAAATGCTTTTAAAAACTGCCGTTCCTTTCATATTTCTGTCTCTACACTTTTCTGTCATCGATTTTGTCGCCATATGCAGCCATCAACATAGCCCGCAAGCCACCAACACAGCCCCCAAGCGCTTTGTTCCCTTCCGATATACTGAATCCACTTCGCGTTTGACAAGCTCCACGTAAAGAAGTTCCTAAAAGTTCATTTACATGGCGTGATGACGTTAAGCCAAATCGCCGCCTTTGTGGGTGTTTTTCCTTCCTTCATTTGAGTCGCTCGCACGTGCACCTGTCGATGAATGGGCTGTCTTAATGTCAATATGGACGTTTGCCATTGCTCTAAGTAAATAGAACTTGCCATATTGCGATATCGACTTTTACGCACATATGTACTGGTATATATATATGAATGGACAAACTGTCGATGCATTCAACAGACCGCCGCAGAGTTCAAAGCTGTTTATTGATTAACACAGGAAACGATCAGCAAAGGTACTACGTATGCATATGTTAAATGGAAAGCAACACAGCAAGTTTTGCGTATAAACTCGTTTTGATGCCAACGAAAGGAGGATGGGAATAAGAAGAATTGTATGCTTTAAAAAAAATTATTGAAATATATATATAATCATATTTTTTTACAAAATAGCCATTTTCGAGACATTTTCTTTAATACATCAAGATAGTTTCTACCCAATGGAATAGGGAGTCATGTGTAACGATTCACGCAGGGGAGGAAAGTTCTCTGAGCGCCATTCATTTGGCAGTGGCCAGAAACGATTATTTTACATATGGCTCAAATAGCTCACGACTTCCTTTTAATCGACGATTAACAGTCAGAGATCTTACTAGCATCATTGGAATATCGGAAGTCAGTGAAAACCATTTTGAAACATTATTTGGGCCTAAGACAAGTGAAAGTACGTTTGGTTTCAAAAACACAAAATTTTTCGAAACACAGCGTCGCGTTAACGGATGTGAAGCAATGCTTTCCGATTACCAGGATGTCATGGAGTGAGCCAAAGCCGAAAAATAAAATCAAAGCAGGTTAAAAATCAAAGTACTGCAAGAAGGATACTATTCGGGTGTTACGTCATTTGCGCTATTCGTAAACAGAGGTCAGAATTATGGGCCCAAAGCTTTTGCCTCGATCGAGGGCAGCTAGGAACACAATTCCCCAAAGCTGCCCATACTTTGGCTCATTTAAGGGTTGTTTGAAGTAGTGACCTTTAGAGGAATCCCGCAGATCTTGGAAAACTACGCAACACAGGGCATTACACAAAGTTACTTTAGTTGTTTAGTGTTACTTTAGTGTTTATGGAGAGACTAAAAAGCTTCTACTTCGAGACAAAAGGGAACTTAAAATTACACCTTCAAAAAATTGAAAAAATGGATGCGGTGTGATGCAGGTTATGCGCGGAGGGTGATGTAATGCTGGAAAATTAGTTTAGCGAATCCCAGCCTTTAGTCAGATAAGGTCGGATATATTCCAAGGCGCTCAATACGCCAACTTCAAGAGGAAGCTGTGTTGGAAAAAATTAGATATTTTACCGAACCAACTGAGTTGCTTGATAAAGTTTACTTTGGTTACCTCTCGGGTGGTAATGGGACTAACCCAAGTGCCTGCGATCCGCCGTTCCTGCGCCTTTATTTTCAACCAATACAAATTTCGAAATAAATAAGGTATCAATGACTAAATGATATGCCCTAAATGATGTTAAATCTGCTATAAGTGTTTTTCATGTTTCATATAATCACTCACCACATTGTTTCGTTTCCTCATTAAAGAACTTTCGGTCTATATCTGGTTCTTTCGTATTGACTGAGTTTTTCTCACTTATCCTACCAGGCACTGCAAGCCCCACATTAATATCACTTTCAACGATTTCCTGATTGGATTTTAAAAATTCATTTTCGTTGAGAGGCGCACAAGCTGTAATCTCTTCTTTTTCTCTACCGAAATCTTCGAAATCCCTTATATCCGCGCATTGGTATGACACTCCCGAGGATGAGCCCACCGACATTGGATATTCACCGTTGTAAACTGGTGTACTTTGTGTGCTATCACTGCGGGCGCGAGTACTACAGCTGCTGATGCTGATACCACTATCCGTGCCGGTGGCGCTTATTAATGGCGGTGAAGTGGTCAGGCATTCGCTACTCGCCGTTTGTCGCGGTGTGAATGCACCGTTACTATTGCTGAGTGAAAGAGACGTACCAGCTTGAAGATGTTTCTCCTCATGACAATCTCGTGGGCTATCTTGTGCGTCTTCACTCACCGTTGGCAACTCGGAAGAAGTGCAGGACGAAGATTGTATTTGCAATCCAGGCAATCGCTGAGCTTGTGGTGCGCTCTGTTGAGATTTTGACATATTTGCGGCATGCAATTCTTCGTTGGATAATGTTGGCGCGCGAGTAGGCGAACTGAGAGACTGCCGGTACTGGTGTTTTAACTGTGAATAAGTATTGCAATCAGCTGACGGTGGCCGAGACACGCTTCGTGCGATCTGCGTGGCAGCTGGAGACGGTGGAGATTGGATTGGAGTTGCAGGTGGAGACCTGCTACTATTTAATTGCATCAACAAATGCGGCGTTTCGCCCGTTACTTGCCTGTATGTTGGCTGTGTTGTAGCGAGGGCGTCAGCGTAATGTCGCAATTGCGATTCATTGCCCCCAAATGCGGTTTGTTGATGCGGCAGTTGTGCTTGCGGTGACGGTTGCTGCTGTTGCCGTAAATGTGGTTGCAGTTGCGGTTGGGTGTGTGGCGCCGACGCAAATGGTTGTGTCAATACAGAACGCTGCTGTTGCAATGTCATGGTGTTTGGTTGAAAGGCCTCACTGCGGGGCGGATAATGCAAAACACTGGATGGTATCAATTGTTGGCCAGCAGGTGTATACATGCCACGCAATGAATGCTGCGGCAGACTATGCGGATAGGGAAAATATCGTGCACGATTACTGTAAATAGTCGAAATTGGTCCACTGGACACATTATGATTGGGGCCATCACCAATTAGCCTACTGTTGAAAGTGTTATTATAATGACGATGTTGTTGTTGTTGTTGTTGTTGATACTGTAACTGCTCAGCTGAGTAATGTTGTTGGTGAATTGCTTGTCGTGAGGCATTGAATTGTGCGGCATCGCCAAAATTCCCATAGCCAGAGGCATATGCTTGTGGCTGCGGTGAAGCTGCTTCGGCCGAATACCTCATATTGGAAGCCTGTGGCTCTGGATATTCCTTAGTCAAACTTTGTCTTTGGAGCGTTGTTGGGAAGTTCATAGTTGAGGCTCGGTTTCTCAGTTACATATACTAATAAATTTGTTGATCAGCGCCTGTGGTTTAAATGTTTACGGTGCTAACATAAACATATTTTCTCTACTCTGAATATGAGATTTTCCAACTGATCCCCGTGGAAGCTAAACAATAATCAATCTGAGCACTCAATTTGTTGTGTTGTTTTTTCGATTTATTCTCTTATATTTTAGTGTAATCAGTGCTGCGTCTATATTATCTTATCTGTGTAATTTCACCTTTTGAACATAAAGCCACTACACCAACCCTAGCTTTGTGTTCTTCTTTTTCGCCCTGATTTGTATATGTAAGACGTTTACATTCTTGTGTTGCATACGAAAACTATGCTTGCCACTTTCCTCCGTATCTCTATCTGCCATTACGTACCTCCCTCAGGTATCACAGTTCCATCATTGTTCGTTTTGTCTGTAGAGTCTTTCATTTAGCGCTATTCGCACAATGTTTGGTTGCTTCAATTTTCTTGTATGGTCTTTTGTTTGCCTACATTGATGAACAAAAGAGAGACTCTCCCAACTAGAAGTCGCTTTTTTCGTAGTGAAATTGACCATTGTACTCGTTTATACTCTATTCACTCCTATTCATGTCAGTTCAGTGACGTTGCCGTTTAATTCCATTGACTTTCGTGAAATCAAGTGAGTTTTTCAAAGTTTTGATTACAAATGGGTTTCTTTGTGCATATTTGAAAAGGTTTTTCCTGGAAAGTAAAGAGAAAAAATATTGTTAATAAAAATGTACGTAACATGCGTGATTCATGTAATGGAGCTGGCAAAACAATTTTAAAATGAAATAAAAACAAGATAAAACTTAAATTCCACCTACTTCGAAGATTTAATATCTTTACATGTGCGGTTTTTTATCTTTATTTTTATCTGTCAGTTTATATGGCAGCATGGTGGACCGATAATTTCTTCAGATATTTTACTTTACCCTTGGACTATAAGTTACTATAAGTTTATCATACAGGGACTGGATTTGGATCGACCAGTTTGTAAACTGTTATATGCTATAGGCTCCGGTTGAAAAATTTGTTTGGTGATCGTATCATTGCACTGGTATCTTGTCCAATAACATTTTTTTCCTTACAAAAACTTGACTTTGAGCGGTCAGTTTGTATGCCACCTATAATGATCTGATCTAAAAAAATTTTTTCGAAAATCGTGCACAATACAATAAAATAATCCACCTCGAATTTCGAGAAGATATCTCGTTAAATATAAGGGTTATCCATACAATGACTTGATTTTGAATATTCAGTTTGTATGACAGCTATATGCTAAGTTCGATATAAGTGATTCCCACAAATGACCAGTTTATTGGTGAGCACATGTGCAAAATTTCAGATCAATATCTAAATATCCGAGGGACAAGTTAGCGTATACATGTACAGACTGTTTGCTGTCCTTTGCTTCTTTTGTAAATACTTTAATTCCGAATGTACCATACTAGTTCAGTTTATCATGAAAAGAAGCCAAAAAGTCTCTCCTTAATAAATAATAGTTAGAAGACTTTCCGCAAACCCCATTTATAGGGACGCCGGAATATGTTGTTTACTAAAGCATAACTCATACTATACATATCATAACTTGGGTGATCCAAGTAGAGGCACTTTTTTCAATAGCCTCTTTTGACAGATCACGCGTGAGTCACCTCAAGTTGTCATGCTATTTTTGTCCAGTATTATTTAGTATATCATCATGGAAAGACTTGCGACTGAACAACGTTTATAAGTTCTTCAACTTCATTACAAAAATTCACGTTCTGAAAGGAATGTGTTTCCCGTACTTCGCTCAAATTATCGTCAAGATAATTGGCCCATTGAGCGCACTATTCCCAACACCATCAAATATCTTGAGACCCAGCAATCATTATGGGATAATATTCCACAGGATAGACGATGTCCAGCATGTATTAAAGAAAATATGGCAATCGTAGCTGAGAGCGTATACGAAGACCGTTGAGAGCCGATTCGGCGCCGTTCGCAGCAACTCGGACTGACATCTGAAATTACTTGGCTCATTTTACATCGATATCTGTATTAAAAGCGTACAAAAGACAGCTTGTTCAAGAACTGAAACTGCTCGACCTTCTCAAGCTTCGACCTTGTGGCTCTGAAAAGTTGCAGAAAACCCGACGTTTTCGCCCAAATTTTGTTCAGCGGAGAGGACTATTTCCGGCTTAGTGGGTACGTAAACAAGCAAAATTTTCGCATTTGCGACGAAGAGCAATTCAAGAATTTCCATTTTATCCAAACAAACAATGGTTAGGTTTGTGGTTTGTGGAATCATCGGTCCATATTTCATCAAAAATGAAACCGATGACAACGAAACCGTCAATGACAATTGTTGTCGCGCCATGATAACCGACTATTTGATGAATTGAACCTCGTGACATTTGGTTTCAACAAGCCACTTCCCTCACATCCCATCAATCCAGGAATTTATTGAGAGAACAGCTAATTTCACGTTTTGGGCCACTCGATTAGCCACCAAGATCGTGTTATGTTACTCACTGTTAGATTTCTTCCTGTGGGGATGTTTAAGGTCTAAAGTCTGTGTAAATAATCCTGCCTCGTTTGAGGCCTTGGGGCAAAACATCATGCGTGTTATACCCCCGTCGAAATACTCGAACGAGTCTTCGAGAATTGGACTTAACGGGTGGACCATCTGAGACGTTGCCGCGGCCAACACTTTAGTATAATGGTCCCGAGTTTTTTCTTTAAAAAATTAGGGAGCTTCGAAGTGGATCACCCTTTCATATTACTAATCTGCTACCATTTTTTAATGATTCATGAAGTTCAATAATAGTAAATAAGAGGAAGGAAGAATGCCGAAAAAGTCAATGAAAACTAATAAGATAACTAAGAGATATTATTATATAGATATGTATGTATGRATATGTAAACGTGAATGAAATTATTTTTTAAGAGAAAATAGAGAAATCATGAAGAGAATTCATTGAGGCAGCTTTCAAGCAAAAATATAATAGCAAATCCCACAACTTGTAATAAATTATGCAGTTGTATACATCATTGACACACACCCAAACATGACTAGGCAGACGATAAAGATTGATTCTTCAAGTAGCACCGCTACCAAATAAGCACCCTGGACCTGATATTGTGGACTTCGCAAATAATCGATTAGCCCTTGCAATTTTTAAGTGTATATTTATAAAATACACATATTTTGTTGCTACTTTGTGAAAGGACGTCAAACAATTGTGTGTACTCCTAGTTGCTGTCGTTTCAATCAGCTGTCGGCACGCTATAGTTGTTAACAATGTCGCTGGTGCATCATAAAACGAACAGCGGAACAGCAGCGACGGAAATAAATCAATAAACACCACACTTTACACGCAAAAAATCAAACAAGCGAAATAGAGAAATATGACTAAAGCAGAATGTACAAAAGCATGCATACAAATTGGAGTAGATACATGGTGAACGAGAATGGCCTGGAAGTAAATAGTGTGTAATCATATACAAAATTTAAAAGCATGCTAATCGAGAAACACAAATAATATATACTTAAAACTTGCAGTAAAATCAACTAGTATTAGACTACTGTAAGAACTACTCTTCACTAACTACTTTAGTGTGAACCATAAGACAAGTATCAGCCTGTCTCAGACTATCGTTTTCCATGCAAGTAAGAGGTTTTTACTTGGTGTTGCCCTAAGAGATTCGTTTAGAAAAATGTCAGTCTACCTAAAATACCGACATAAAGTTACGGATTGCAAAAAATCGTTTTTTTTTTTATTATCTCATTAAATTCTACAACACCTTTAGAGTAATGTTCTAAATTTTCAAGTTAATCCGAGTAATAGTTTCGGAGATACTACCTTGAGAACTTGTGCGCTCGAGGCCAGCTGGGTTAAGTGTGTCGTCTTTAAACGCGTTTCTCTCGAAACTTTGTTTTTGAAGTCGGTTTGCGAGATTTCTCGTGAACTCTTCAACCGATCTTCATGAAACTTTAAACAGTTGTTTGAGATACATTTCTTAAAGACTTAGACTAGAAATCAAAGTTTGGGCAGCTTTTTGAATTTTATTTAAAAAAAAAACCAAAAATATTTTTACTATCCATTTTTTATGGTGTTTTTATTAATATCTTGAGAATACAGAAAAAAAATTTACAAAAAAATATAAAAAAAATTAAAATAATAATAATGGTCTGAAAAAAAAATCTAAAGAAATTCTTAATCAGTAAGGATGCTGTTATAGTCCCTATTTTAGGGAACACGAATTTTTAAAATTTTAAAAATCATTTTTTACGTTTTTTTTTTTTGAAATACCCCTTTAATAGTGTACATATGTATGTTTTTAACAATAAAAAATTCTAATAAAATATTTAACTTTAACATAATAAATATTTAACATTTTCGTTTGGGAAATTCTAGAAAAATGCTATACAGTGGGTAAAAAAATAGAATATTTTGAAAGATATTGGCGGCAGTAGTTTTCCTATGAAACTTTGAGTTTTCCGATTTATGATGAAACAGTAGCCTTAAAATAACCAAACTTCAACASTTGAACTCTTTTAAACGGTTCTTCTTCTTCTTTACTGGCCTAGATACCGCGGTTATAGTCGAGTTAGCAACAATGCGCCAGTCGTTTCTTCTCTTCGCTATTTGGCGCCAATTCGAGATACCAAAAGCGGCCAGGTCTTTCTACACCTTGTCTCTCCAACGGAGTGGAGGTCTTCCCTATCCTCTGCTTCCACCGGCGGGTACTGCGTTGAAAAATTTCAGAGTTGTAGTGTTCTCTTCCAACTCTAGATTCGCTAAATTATGCAATGTTGTCCTATATCTTGTACAACTCATTGACTGCAAAGGGCCAAACACTACTAAGGCCGACTCATCACATGTTGTCACAGGACAGGAATGATGATTTCTGAAGACTAGTCCTTGTTCATCGGGAGATCACTTTAACGGAACACCTGTTAACCAGAGTGATTTTACGTTGGCTGAAAACAGTTAGTTAAAAAAAAAAAAAAGAGTACGAGTCCCTTTTTTAGAGTATTTAATTTCCTACAAAGTTTATGAAATGAGCTATTTTTTCTAGTAGTTGGGCGCGTCATATAAATTCTTTTAACTGATATGACAAAAAATAGAAAACTGTAAGCAAGTCCTCCACTCACCTTGGTTCTCACACTCGGAAAGATATTCTTAGAGGACTCTAAGAGTATCAAACGAAATTTTTTTTTTCACCCACCTTAATATGCTTATATACTTTCTCGGAGGTTTGCTGCTTTTGGACTATACATACACACGTGTTTGTATATATAAATATATAAAAAGTTCACAAATAGCAACAACAAAATGGAATACACTAACAACATTTCCTGATACTCCCTTCTTCCAGGCGAGTGTGCCTTTTTACTTATTGAGTGAGATAAAAACGAGAATTAGTTTTTCCAGTTCCATATGGTCGGCTTTTTCACCAGTCAGCACATTTTGCAAAAATCGTGTGAAATGCGCTAAGCCACCCATTACACAAAAATTAGATTCCGGGAATTATTGAGTAAGATGTTAGTTAGGTTTTCTGAATGTGGGTTTAAATGAATTGAACATCTTACTACGGATGGATATTTGCGGTTTTCCGTACTTCCTGTCCAATCTGTAATAGTGTGACCAACCATACATATATTTATCTAAATAAGTGTATTTAGAATTTGGCGCGTTCTGCCTGCCTCAATTGGTTCAGTAAACGTAGGCTTTGTCAACAACTTATCTTTTCGTTAAAGTCATCAGTCAAGATTTAGCGTTTCATTGCTATAAAATGACCTAGTGTGGGACTTCTTAACAACGCTGCAACCATATGCGTAAGCAGTACAGACCTACAATACTATATATGTACATATGTACTTTGCACACTCACATGCATTTGTACATATGTACACTCTTATAAAAGCGCAATTTTTTCGCGGTTAAATTCACGGATAAAAGGGTGTTGTCCGCTTAGAAGTTACAAGCTGTTTGTCGTATATAAGTACGCTAAACTCTATATACGTATGTATGTGTGTATGTGTGTATGTATGTAAGTATACAGGCATATTAAAGTCCTTTAATTCATTTACAACATAATCCCCCAATGATATATTTAGTGCTAGGAGGTGTCATTTATATACACCGTATGCAGTCTGAGGGTATGAAGTAATCATATTTGGTATAAAATAACAATTTCCAACAAACCTAAAGGAGATTAATAAATTTTTGCATACCTCTGTTTATATGTTGAACGGTACTCTGGCGGACTTTATTTCTTCTGTATATTTATGCTGGCACAACATCCGATTTTCACTTTGCACAACATTTGAAATTTTTATCATTTTTACGTTTATAGATTTTCAAAAACATAACCGTTACATTAGCAAATTTTTTATATATTACAAGTATAGCTACGCGCACGTGCACTTGCCAGTTAATATATGGATCGATGTAATTCTATAGACCCGAAATCTCAGCAACCCTTTACTGCCTTCAGCAGACACTTAAGAAATTTTCGAACAGCTCTTCTTTGGTGCCATAAAAAGTTAGAGCATCAAGAAAATTCCGTGAATCTGCCACCACCCACACTTATACACGCACACACACACCCACGGAATTGAGCCCGTTTGTGCGAAACACCTACCACATAGTCGATTAAGCAAAGCACAATGTGTGCGTTTCGTATGCGAAAAGTTTGCGACCGTTGTTTTCAAAAGTACGACGAAGACTGACTCGCAGCTCGTTGGCCCGGCTAAGTGATTGTGCTGGTGGCAGTCGCATTCTCTGTAAGTACACCATGCCATCAGTATGCCGTGTATACAAATATTGGGTAGCGCACCCTAAATGCACAGGCATCAAGTGCACGCCGTAGCTCCAATCGGGCACACCGTTGCGCACGAATCAGCTATTCGTCATGCGTGGACGAGAATTTATATTACATTCATATACATACATAGGCATCAAAGGTTCCCTATAGAGTCATGCGAAAATGCTAAGGACCTCCAATCGACGTTTCGTCTGGCACAGTGGTCTAATCTCATTTTTTACCCATCAAAAATATAAAATTCTTTTTGTGGCTGGCACTTTATGACTGTTCAAAATAAAGAGAAACAGTACAAAAAATAATTGTCCAAGGATGAGGAAGCCATGCAAATGGGTGTGGTAGTGAACGAGGGCAAGATGAAATATCTCCTGTCCTCAAACAAACCGTCGTCGCACTCGTGATTTGGCTCCCACGCACGTCGTAGATGACTTCGTCTATCTTGGAACCAGCATCGACACCAACAACAACGTTAGCCTCGAAATCCAACGCAGAATAACTCTTGCCAACTGGTGCTACTTTGGACTAAGTATACAAGTGAGAAGTAAAGTCCTCTGTCGAGGAACAAAGACCAGACTCTAGAAGTCACTTATTATTCCCGTCCTGCTATATGGTGCAGGGGCATGTTCGATGACAACATCTGATGAGTTGACGTTACGAGTTTTCACTCCAGCTCTGAAATTATTCGATGCAGTACTTGCGGAGAAAAACAGAGGAAGACTTGCACTCCGTTGGGAAGACCAGGTGGAGAAGAACCTGGCTACATTTGGTCAATTGGCGCCAAACTGTGAAAAGAAAGAACGACTGGCGCGCTATAACCGCGTAAACGATGTCTACGCCAATATGGAATAAGAAGAAGAATTGGAAGCAATCAAATTATTGCTTTTCTGGAGTCTTAGTGGGGGGGTGATGCCCACTCTGGTAGTTCATCTACTTCACAGTTGCCAGGAATATCGCTGTGTCCTGGAACCCATTACTGGTTTATCCTTAATTTAGAAGTGGGTACCACATATCAATTCATTCTTTCACTACCTTTGACGAAACCCTATGAGACTTTAGTGATTTATATATATAAATTAATAGCACACTCTTTGTCAGAGCAAGAAGGTTTACTTTATGTTAACTACTGTCATCTCCGTTTGAAAGATTTTTGTGCTTAATTTTGCTGAAAAAACTACAGCACCCACTCGATGATTATCTACTTTGGATCCATTCGTATAGATTTTTATCCCTGCGTCCCTTTATCAGTCTTCTCTCGAAGGGAAGGCATTATTGGAGATCGAATTTAAGTTCAATTCTATAGGATTTCGAAAATTATTCAAAAGTCAACCTATACTTTTCTTTATATTAATATTTCATGATTTGAATATCCAGTCTATACCTAAATAAAGTAAATTTCATATATGTATGTGACCTGGTCTACGAAAAGGTAGCTAACGTGCGAAAACTTGTTTATGATTTTATGAATTCTATCACGTGAAAAAGCATCTCATCTTCCATCCGAATCAATTAAGATTTTTTGAAACCTAAGCCCCCTTTCCGTAGACCAGGTCACATATAGCGATATCACAATAAATCGAGGAGGTTATTGGCCTTATCTATGGGTTGAAAAAGCGGTGGATTCTGATTAATGTAACTTTACATTTTCGTTTTATTTATTTTGAGTTTTTTTAGTGACGGCCTCATGCATGAAATAACCCACTGTGCTATGTAGCCGACCGTGCAAAAAACTTGCACCAACATTCTGACCCGGATTGTGTGTTTCGCATGTTCGGAGCGAAGCCACCGATGATGGCCACGAACGGCTAACGATTTGCAAACGCTCAAATATAAACAAGCCAACGGGTTGGAGGCTGGATGACAACACCGGACTTTACGCACCCGATATATACATGCATACATACATACATCTGTAAATAAAAGATATGAGGCTATAAGAATAAAAGAGATTGCACGCGTTAAGAGAGCGAAAAGCGCTAACTTTTAAGGGAAAACACTTAGGAGGAAAAACGTGCTAATTTCATTATTGTATATGCTCACCACCATTTTTCGTAACATTGTACGTTACAATTGGCCACAATAACAATACGCGGAAGAGGCATGTAAAGACGAAGATAAGCAAAAGAAAATGTAAACCAAAACAGAGAGCAAACAGCTTTTTATGGGGGTTGGAAATTTTTAAATCAATGATGCAACAAAAAAATACCAAAGAGAGAGCTTACCGTTCATTTTTGCAGTACATACATATGTATTGAATAAGTATGGAAGGTCTAAGTTCGGGTGTAACCAAACAATTTAATGCTTGCAATTTGAAACGATCAAACCCGTGGAAATACAAGACAGGCCTTTCCATACTTGAACAAAGTGAGGTTAAGGTTTTAGGAGAGATAAATTTAAAGGCGAAAGGGTGTCCAAGAGATCCCTGACTATAAAGGTAACTAGTTGGTCGACTATTTAGCTAAAGAAGCTTCTGTAACGAAGCCGCTAGCAGCGGAGCCTTTCTTCGCAGTGAGTCCGCGTAAAATTGAAGAAGAGCTCTGGAAAGAGGAAAGGATTAGTAAGTGTAATTTGCACATATTTGGAATCTACTAAACAGATCACTGTCGGTCCTGTGACCTTGTGGCAGTGACACCAGAGAATATAACCCCTTTAATCACACGCATTCGCAAGAAGGAGGAGTCAGGCTAACGGAACGATGCTACCACCCAGAGAAGTTGTCACACTTAGTTGAGCTATTTAACTTCCTTAATGCAACTGGATAAAATAAAGATATGTACATACTGTAGACTACAGTTCGTAGGGACGTTCCCACGACATCCGGTCTAAGTAATCGCAAAAGACCCGGATTTTTAGCCAGCCAAGGACTGTCAAATCGGTAAGATTCCTCAGAAATCTTTCTTCAGGAATGTTTTCGGCCACTACAACAACAACAACAGGTAGGGTTAATCAAATCTAATCTATTGTAAATATGTTAGATCAGTATTCTGCAATAAATCATATCCCAGCTCACGTGTTCCAGTTTTGGGTATTAAAATTCAAAACAGCTCAAACACAACTACTAATATTCTTCAATTATTCCTCGGGATAGGACTATACAAAGTGTAAACATTACTTATACGCACTGGTATACAAATAATTCAACACTGCCGTAGATCTTTTCTAATATACTTGTACATATATACATATGTATACATACACATTGACAGATGTAGCTGATAAAATAAATAAAATAAAAAAAGGAAAAAGGGAAAAATTTAAAATATATTATTGAAATTAAAGGGAACTGTTCCTCAACAAGTGTGCCTTTGTGTTAAAATTTGGTAAAATTGGATAAATATTTCTCCCAGCCTCCGAATGCCTAAAATAAAGATTAATAATTGTTAGTAACTTTAACTTTATTGCCTATTAATTATTTTGCTTTTAATAAATGAAGCAATGAAAACTAAATATATGTACATCCGTCCGTTTGTAAAATTGTAAAAGAGCACGAAGACAAAATTTACAAAAATATTACTACGTACAAGTTGTTTCGTGGCATAATAATATAGCGTGTAATATAGTGATAAATGGCCGTGGACACTTGAACAATATTAACCGAACCAATGTGCACCCATACAGTCTCTAGTCCATTCTGTTTGGCAAATCCAGCACCATTCGAAACCACAGCCGGCACGCGTGCATACCATATGCATACAACCGCCATCTCGTTCAGTCGGCGTGCGACATTTTGGACATGGCTTAGTCATGACTTTTATCGTCACTTTGCTTGCTTCGTCCCAACGAGCCTCAGCTGCACGCTATAAAAACAAATTAAAATGTCATAGTACATAAAATTAACTGTTTTATTTGCAATTCATACATACATTTGGATCGACAGAGTATTCACAAGATCCGCTGGCGTTGGTGCTTGTACCTTCTGGCAAGCAGTCTCCTAAATGATACCCTTGCAAACAATTGCGACAGAAGACGTACTTAATGTAAATAAATTAACGAAATTAACGAATTAAAATCGTTTGATAATTCAATAAGTCAACTTACGCCACACCCATTCTGGCAGGTTACTTTCTTACATTCTGGTTCCACTAATAACCCCATGCCACAGCCAGGTTGCGGACACAATACACCGCCAGCCTGCAATACATATTCTTCCGTTGCAAAACGCTGATATCTGGCATATTCTTCTCTCGACAAAAGCTTAAAATGATGAATCTCCTCTATGAAAGAGTTTTCACAACCCGCTGGACATGGTAACGTATACCCAATATCGGGATGTGGCATAAATTGCCGCTCGGACAGTCGTGAACGACAATATTGCTCAAAACACTCTAGGCAGGTAACATGTTTCGATTCACAGGGGAAGACAAGAACAGTTTCACTAAATATACGACCTTATTCACAACTTATATAACAACGCATAAATATATTTAAATACATACCTAACTTCCGTACATGCTAAACAAGGTACGTCTTTAATATTAATTTTAATTAAGTTTAAAGGAGCAGCGAAATCTTTCTCTCCACCTGAGATATGTTCACCACATTTAAAATAAAATTCGGTATATGGCGGATCTCCCGTTTCGTTATCAAAGCACGCAATTTCTTGGCTTTCACAATGACCAGTTATGCGTCGAGGTTTCAACACGTCGTCCCAACATTCTGGATCACGATGCACCGTAAATGCGCCTCCTTTACAAAGCGAACAGCGAACACGCAATTTACCCTTACAAAGCTTATTACATTGGGCACAATGCACAAAAAAGTGAGCCTTTGTACGTTGCCGATCTGCAATTTATGATTATATAGGTTTACATATCGATTCTATTTATTTATTTACCTTCTTCAGTAATATTTATACGTTCTTCGCTCAGCAGTTGTAAATCTACTAATGTTTCGCATAATGGTTTAGATGGTTCTTCTGGCGGGGAAGGTGTTGCTCTACCAGTAGAAGTAGATATGTTCATAATATCTTGCGGTTCTTCCTCCAGTACTGTGGATTGTAACCGTTGTCGTTGCGGTTGAGGACGACTCCGTATCGCGTGTAATATACTTTGTTGGCCCAAATCACATTCCTGAAAATAACTAGGCCAATATTTTAAAATGGGATTGTATGGTTCCAGTGTACTTACCTGTATGGTTGTTGCATCACTCAATTCTTTACCAGCGAAGATGATTTTCACTTCTTCGGGTTGCAAACCTAATTGCGGTGCAACGATCTCCTTAACATTTTTTATATCCCATTGTGGTTCTAAATTCACAGATAACGTTCTACCAGTGTTGGTTTTAATATAAATACTTAAACTGTTTGTAATGGTTTTCTGCCCAAACGATAAAAGCGCAAGCATCTTTTGTATAAAACTTTGTATGAGTTGAATTAGAAAACTCATTTCAACTTCATCGAGTTAATTTTGATAGTTGTCTAATTTGAGAATCGCACTTCAGCATAGATTTTTGCAAAAAAAAAAATATTATCAAATGATTGTCAAATTTGCTCACAGCTGAAAACTCAGCTGACTTTATATACAGAGTGTCTGTATAGGTACATAATTTTAAACTTATGTACATCAGTGATTACTGTTATTTGGCATAGGTTATAATTAATAAATACATTCTTCAAAGAAATTGGTCAGATTGGAACACTATAACATATAGCTGTCATAAGATATGACAAATCAAACTCGGGTCCTCGAATGGAAAAATTATTTGGCAAGGTGTCTTCATGAAATTTCACAAGATTTATTATTCAAAGCATCGCTACAATCTCTGAACATTTTGTGCAGATCTGACCACTATAGCTTACGGCTTCCAATCAAACTGACCATTAGAAAGCGAGATGAAGATCTTTTTACAACCTTCATGCTATAAAAAATACATCAGCTTTCGTTCAGCCAAATTAACGTTTTTTCTTGTTCAACTTTAACTAAGCACATACGCTCAGTTACAAGCCAACAAATTGAAAGTACATTCGATTTCGATTATTTAAAAGCAAAAATAATGTTTTGATTTAATTCAAATTTATTAGCTTAAAATAAGTGTTTACATTTTTTTAATTATATCATTAATTAAGCTACATTTTTACTAATTAGTTATATTGTTTTAGTTTTTTTTTTTCATCTTCTTTCCAAAGTTTCATAGATATTAATTCAGAGCATTGAAAGAAACAGTAGCAGCAAAATGATAATGCAAGATAATTCGCAAAACCATTGCCGTATGCGTTCATTATTAAAAATACGCCCATTTCGCGACTACCTATAAAGAAAACGTTCGCAAAAGCAGCCACTATGAAAAGTTGGCTAAAAACAATTGCTTGAAAACGTTGTGACATTTGTTGACCCAAATTTTGTTCGATCCAACTTTTGTAAAATGTTGAACGCATAGCATGCTTCAATAACTTCTCCAATATTAGACACCAGAAATTCATAACTGTCCATATAAGGATATCAGTCTGACAACCATGCCACATGAAAACAAATGTAAAGGTAAGCACCGTCGACACGAATTTAGAATAATTTGCATTAACTAATGGGTGGTAAATGTAATCAAATAAAAATTCATAAAGTCCTTGATCAAAATGTTTCCACATATTCGAATAATAATGAACATGACCAATACATTGAGGTTTACTTGGAGGATGCATCCCATCGTAACGTGAAAAAGCAATTCCTAAGCCATATTTTACAAGATACGTCATGAAAAAGAACAAACCTAAGAAATATCCAATTGCATGCAGTCCGAAAGGTGACCTCACAAGTTTAGCCTTGTCTATTTCTACAGCCATATAATGTACAAACAAGTAACGCATTCCAAGCTCTAAAACAAGCCACCATAACAAAATTCGCACTATTTCAATTGTAAAATAGTTTACTTCATTAAATAATGTATGTGCGTCCTTCTTTTTTAATATCACAATATAACGTTTATAGTCCAAAAATGGACCATTTACAAGCGTCGGAAAATATAATGTATATCCTAGATAGTGTGTCACCGTAGACAATTCTAAAAGGTCTTGCTTATTTAATTTTGAATCGGCCCAAAAGTGTGCAAAACTACAACAACGTAGCAAAGTCCAAAATAATATTACACTAAATATATAAAAAATATCTTGTTCGTCTGAAAAGTTGCCGATATTAAATGCTAAAATATTAAGTACTGCTACCCACAAGGCTGTTGCGAACCATATCAATTTTCTATTGCCAATATATGACACTAAATAAAAAATTACAAGCATTGTGCCAAGAAATATGTTCATCATGAATGGAAGCGTGTTCAACAAAGATAGTATTGATACACATGCAAACGCAAGCCCGATATTGTTCGGATTAACAAGAAACCTTGAGCCGGTTGCAATTACGGCATGTGTGAGGTACCAATACCAGTTCGATCGGACATAATTATTGAATATGTCCAACTCATAGTTGAAGGGATCACGTGTATATCCTGAGCGTTTTTGTAATATTTCACGTAAGTCAATCAGAATCCATAGTCCGTATATGAGGTACGCAAAATATACTCCAAAATATAGGCACAATTCGCGTTTGTAGAAGTGATATCCCTGCATTTTCGACACTTTTTCCTTTGACTCGTGCGCCATTATTTTAGTTTTATTCTTAAAATATATAATACTGTTTGTACTTGTGCACTCGGATTATTTGTTTACATTGCTTTCGATATATAATTCAATTGCAAGCTCAACAGCATATATTTTACACATGTGAATACCGGTCCCTGTGCAGTCATCAGGTGTTCCATCAACTATTCCATCACATATAATGAGACGTCTCCACTCGACAGCGAAGATATTGCAAACCAGTGAATTATGCAGCGTTGGCCTAGAAATATCTCCGCCTTTTCTATTTGCACTTTCAGTACGCATGTTTGTGTTAAAATAGTATTTAAATTTATAAAGTAGTCTCCTTAAAAAACCTCACTTAATACAGAAGATGTTATCACAACACAATAATCATATTAGAACTTGTAAGAATTGTGCCAATATTGCCAATGGGCACTGAGGTGAGTTTGCTGACTTTATGGTTATTAAGAATAAAACATCAATCAATGCTTTCCAACACTTTTTATTGTTTATATGTGCAATGCAACCGTGGTGATACACGTGCAATCAAATTTTGAGTTTTTTGGGAACCGATTTGTGTTTGCAAATTTAAAAAAATTGTACTATTTTAAATAAATTATCTATAAAATATATCAAATATGGATATAGTAAAGGAAGTGTTAGAAAAACAGCAACGTGATTTAGAAAAATACAAACCAATCACCGTAGATAAACATTTGGAAGTACGATTGGATGTCGGTTCTTTGCTGTGCACTGACCCAAACGATTTGGAAGACAGTCAACTGAAGTATGAATTTTCTAACTAAAATAAAAGCAGATGATATATTTAATATTTTTTAGAAATAATCGAGAACAATATTTGCTTGATCTTACGCGTGATAACACTCAGTTGCTGATTAATTCGATTTGGGAGCTACCTACAGAGCGTATAGACGAATGTATTGTGGCGAAGTTACCGGAACCAACTACTGTTTTGCCGCGACTGCGAAAAGTACCCGGCCCGAAACCTCTTACTAAATGGGAGAAATTCGCGAAAGAAAAGGGCATCAAGAAGAAGAAGAAGGATAAAAAAGTGTACGATACCACACTCGATGTAAGTTCCCAGATAATATATAATTAGTTAGTATATAAGAAGTAATTATATATTTTATTGATAACGTACAGAAATGGGTACCTACATATGGTTTCAAACGAGCGGATGCTGAAAAAGAAAAGGAATGGGTATTGGAAGTGCCTAAAAATGTCGATCCAAATGAAGATATGTTCCAGAAGAAAATTGATTTGCGTAATGAAAAGGTTGCAAAGAATGAAATACAGCGCATGAAAAATATTGTTCGGGCGAAAAAAGTCGAGGTACCACGAGGTGGGTACTTCGGGCCAGAAGTCGCTTCATCTGGACAGTTGCTCACTGCAGTAACTGTTGCTAAATCCTCCACAGCATCTGTGGGGAAATTCCAAGATAAATTACCCAAGGAAAAACAAGCTCGTGGTATTGGTGTAAAAGAACTGATACCAGGTGCCAAGCGCAAAGCGTCACATATCAGCGCCCAGCCCGAGAAAGAGGTTAACCTTGATTTAATAAAGAGTGTATTAAACAAGAAACCAAAATATGATATTGAGAAAGCGATATCTATTCAAAAGAACGAGGACAAGCTACAGTAAGTGATTTGTTAATATTTAATATATTAGCATTGTTTTTATAAAATTTTTAAATTGTGTTACAGGAGAGAGAGCAACCCTGCTGAGAAAGGTAAAAAGGGGAAAAAAGGAAAAGGTGGCAAGAGCGGTAAGGGCGGTAAGAAGCCAAAAGGTGGACGTGGCCAGCGTGCACCTGGGAAGAAAATAGCTGTAGGCAGGAAGAGGCGATAAATATTTTGTACATATATTTAAGTAGATATACATATATAGTTTAATGAAAAATAATAAATTTCAAGCATTTTGACAATTTGAATGAAAATATACAATTGAAATGTTGGATTTTAAATTTATTAACATGATATTAACAGACAGGGAGACTATTAAATATTTTATATCCTCTGTTACAACTAAAACAATTTGTTTTTTTTTTTATACCTTTCTTCCAATGTTTATATTCTTATGTTATTATAGTATTTTCGTATGTATATACATTTGCATATAATTATTACTAATATCACAAGTTTATGGACTCAATTAACTTCTTGATAAATATGTAGGAAGCATTGCTTCAGATATACTTATGATAAATTAATGCTTATTTTTAATTAATTTATATAAGTACATTTTGTTTTTTTTTTTTATTTAAAGTTTCGATGAGTATCGCGAATTCACGGACCTTCTTAATATACTTGAACGCAGTTCACCACGAGTTGAAGATCGCAGCGAAGCGCCTGTTTGCGTAGAACGTACAAAGTTTTGTTGTCGTTCTTCCAAGCTTCTAGGTTCCTCCAGCCTTTTCGTCAAGCATGGGAAATCCCAAATACTCTGACCTCGTCCAAATTCTTCACCATCTGTTAGTGTTTGTGGTAGATCATGGTTCAAGGTTTCTGGCAGCAATAAAGCCAGCAGACCCCCAATAATACCTAGAACACCCAAAATCACAAGCGGAAGAACTGGTGAAACTTTCTCTAAGTATACAACAAACGGAGCGATTATGCTCGCCACATAACCCATGATGTGAATGAAGGCAACTCCTTGCGCGCGTACAACAGTGGGCAGAATCTCAGCTGCATATTGCAGGCCAATATTGTATGAAATGTTAACAAAAAAGCGACCCATAATGGCGAATGAGGCGAAGTAAATGCCTGTTGGCACCAGTGTAGCGAACAAACTGAAAATACCACTGGCAACCATAGAACCGCAAGCCAACCAACGTCGTCCCCATTTGTCTAGTATAATTGTTAGTATGGAATCGGCTGGAAACTCGGTGAAGCAAGCCACAGTAAAGGTGAAAAACACATTTACTCCTAGCGAGCTCACGTTTCGTACATGACCATCAAACACCAGTGAAATTGCCATCCAAATGACAATAAGTAGCAGTGTGGTACGTCGCAGTCGGGGTGTTTTAAAAAGATCCAGAATTGAATAACTGCTATTCTTGTTTTCTTCTTGCTTCAACTTCAAACAACTGGCGCTGAAGGTTTGGTAGGTTTCCGTGGGCACGTGCTTGCCATTAACTTTCTCAAGTCTTTTCAATATAGACACAGCTTTCTCCACTTTCCCTTGCGATACAAGCCATCTGCAATTAAATGGGTCAATTATAAAAAAGCCAAAACATAATTATATACATATGTATGTAAACATGTACATAAGTACGTGTATGTACATATGTTTATATAGTTTACCTGGCCGATTCTGGTATTACGAAAGGTGTTAGTACGACCAAAATCAAAGGGGCAGATGTAACGATAGCAAACAGCTTCCAGTCTGCAATAAAATATGCAATCCAAGGTAAAATGCAAGCAGCGGCCGTGAAAAACAATGCAATCGACATGTTAGCGACGAACGTCCGATATCTAGGGCCGACATACTCCAGAACTGCAAAAAAATATGTACATATGTGTGTTAATGTTATTTATTTTATATTTAGATATTAAGTTTTATTTATGATTAATTCCGGGTATCATTATTTGATATTAATAATGTTAAAGGGTCTTTATGGCACTTAAGTTGATTAAACAAAATTTTTAAAACTATTAATTATTCATTTTAAACTCTTGCAAATCCGGAACACAGCTGGTTAAATATCTGCAAGTTTTTGCAATATGAGAAAATGTAGCAAAAGGTTTTAACTTAATTTTTCGACGAAATGATAAATGGATTACAATCAAAGCGAAAATTATACTATATAATCCTCAATCGACTTTATCTATTTACCTTATGTATATGTTTTTGATTAATGGAGTTTTGTTGGCGTGACAGTAGATCAATTACGTTCACCTACAATACCAATCTTCTTATGGTGCCAAAGAACTTATTTACGAAATTTCATCAGATATCTTAATTTTTAGTCAAGTTACAGCTTGAACGGACGGTCAGACGGACGAACAGATGGACAAACCGACAAACCTCACACACAAAATCCCAGAGTCGCTAGCCTTAAGCACATGGGGAAAGGACAAAGAAACGTTGTTGGCAACATACAAGGCAATCGCTTCTAGTTAAAGAACATAATGAACACCTCACCAAACAGTTCCGGGCGCTTGGGCGCTCTCACAGAAATCATCAGTACCCAGCTTGGAGTGGAACCGCTTTCTAGAAGCATCAAGAGGTCATTCCTCAACTACTTGGACGATATAAAACAATACGCCGACCAGCCTTCGGATGCAACTAACTTAGGACAAGCACTGACCGCCTTTCACAGTGGAGCCATTAACACATCTGACACGTGATACGTTTCAACCTTTGGTCCGACTCCCTCGAAACAGCACGTTTCGTAAGCCTACCGTTGGATGACGTCAATGGCAACTTATCTAATCCTTACCATCTTAACAACAACAACAACAGACGGACATACAGTCACTGTGGCATCCCGCTCATCCTTATATATGACTATATCTATATATTATATCTATAACGATTAGTTTTAGGTTGCTTGTATCACAACCGTTATGTGAATAAAACTATTATATTCTGTTGAGTGTATAACTTAATAAAGTATACCATGTACATATATTTTCTTATATATTCATGTATATATATATAAAATATCCAATTTTTTCAATCTCGCGAAAATATTACTCAAGAGTAGTTGCCTAATTTTTATATTTCTGTATATGGTTGATATCAATCCATAATAAACACGATATGGCGATTGGTGACTCATTCGTGTGCACTAGATAGCCAGTATCCACTCGTAATGTACATTTTGCCATACATGATTAATTAATTTTACATTGATTGGATATTGAGCGGCAAATGAAGATATTATATATAGTATACAAGAATACATTTACGGTTAATACATTTTAAAAAGCGGGTTTTCATGGAATATTTATACACTTTGGGATTCACCGTAGACCTCCACATAATTTAAAAAAAAAAATACTATTACGTCGCCTAATTTATTATAAAATCGAGCTATATATAAAACTATAAGTACATGCATACACAAAATGATCAAAATAAGGAGAACTGGAGTCTAGATGTCTGACCATCCGCGATAAATCGCGAAGAAATTAAGATACTAATTTGCAACTATTAAAATTATGTGTGATTATGACATCTAAAAGGTTTAATGTAATATAATATATAATCTGATAAACTATTGAAGATATTCAAGGTATGGTAGGAACATGGGCGAAATCGAGTACCAACTTCTGTTGCACCGGCAAATGATCAATAGAATATCAAAATGTGTCTACGTATAAAATTTTATTCGGAACTCTCAAAAACTGACGAAGATATTTTTATTTATGAAACATAGACTTCATTTTACAAATCGTTGGCTCGAACACGAAACATATTTTCAATCCGTTCTAATGTATAGTTACATTATTAATTGTAGTCAGTAACAGAAACAGAGCAAACCTGACCAGCTATCAGTAGTTCGTGTGTATCAAACTTTACACTTACAAGTATGACTGAATTAAAATTGCATACTTACCGAGAATGTACATCATTGTAAAGCAATTATCGAATGCGAATCCAACGAAGAAGCGCATCAAGGCGAATTGCCAGAAATTTCTCGTAAACGAAGTACCGACACCGGCCGCAAAACCAATCAAATTGCAGCCGACTAAAGCAGGTATACGACCAAATTTATCGGCGATCCAACCGAACAGTAAACCGCCGACAATAGCGCCGAGAAAGAATATCGATTGAGCATAAGTGGGCAGCGCATCATGCTCACAAACCCAATTCTGTTCGGTTGCCACTGTGGAGTATGGATAATCGGTGAAGTTGTATGACCAGCCTTGGCGGCAAGCTACTACCGGCCAAGTCGGGTCAGCCTTGCGCATGCCCTTCGCTAAAACTTCCGTATAATTCACATCATACATCTTGCAATTGTCGTACTCCCGAATGCCGCTCATACGCGGTATTGACAACGCCAATCTGTGCAAAAAATTAATAATGAATGAATGGATAAGTAAGAGATTAAAAAACACTTAACAATTATATGCAAAAAAGAAACTAATTAAACAGTGCTCACGATACAGCGCAGATTATAAGCATGCGTGTACACCAAAATTTTTAATAAGAACACGCAATTATGCATACATACACACATACATATGTGCCAAAAATTATGCTGAACGGCAGTAACGCTTTTAGGTTGGACCGGTCTCTGCATACGAGCGTTTGTGTCTGAACAATGGGCTGAGAATGAGCACTCGACCTTGATTAAGCGAGAGGAAATAGTTTTGTCGTGATTTAGGAAAAAAAATTTGCTTGTCTATGTCAATTTGCCAAAATCTAAGTACAATCGCCAAGCAGGTGCTGCGGCGCACAAGTGGCTAACGCTTGCATTCTAATTAGTTCATGCCAATATTCAACTGCGGTTGCCGAACTTTGGGAGTTTGCACCTAATGCTGTTTTATCCGCGAATGGCTAAAGTATTATATTAACAGTACAACAATAATATAGACGAAACATACATACATACATACAATATTTAAGAAAATCTGGTGCCTTAGGCATTATAACTGAATTAAATATACAAATCAGAAAAAATTGCACCGAAGTTATAATATCCCTCACAAAAAAAAAAAAAAAAATTCCATACAAGGACTTGGTTTTGATCGTCCAGTTTGTATATAAGCTACATTCTGTAGTGGTCCGATCTGAACAATTTCTTCGGCGAGTGTACCGGGAAATAAATCATTCCAATTTTTGTCAAGATATCTCGAAAAAAAAATTCCCACGCAAGAACTGAATGTCCGATCAGTTTGTATGATAACCACATGCTAAAATGCTCCGATCTGAACATATTATTCGGAAAATTATGTCATTGCCCTTCTAAAAAGTCTTGCGGTACTTTTATTGAATTTTCAATTGTTCATAAAATTGGTTACAATAATGCGATTCAAGTCAAATATGCGCCGTTTTGTTCGATGACGCGTTCGCAACGAGATGCTAACTTTATAATGCCCCTCTCAAAAAAGCTCGCTTTCCTATTGGCAAAACCCTCGGAGAGCCAATTTTCATAGGACTCTCTTGTGGCAAACTTCAAACTACCAAGCGCGTTCGCCATGGACAGAAACAGGTGGTAATCACTTGGTGYGAGATCCGGACTATACGGTGGATGCAAAAGAACCTCCCATCCGAGCTCCCGGAGCTTCTGGCGCGTCACTAAAGATGTGTGTGGCCTGGCGTTGTCCTGATGGAAGACAATTTGGCCTCTGTTGATCAAAGATGGCCTCTTCTGCATGAGTGCTGCCATCAAGCGTTTCAGTTGTTGGCAGTATAGGTCCGAATTGAGCGTTTGGCCATAGGGGAGCAGCTTATAGTGGATTATTCCCTACCAATCCCACCAAACACACAGAAGGACCTTCCTGGCCGTCAATCCAGGCTTGGCCACCGTCTGGACCGCTGCACCGCTTTTCGACCACGACCGTTTGCACCTTTCGTTATCGTAAGTGACCCACTTTTCATCGCCAGTCACCATACGCTTCAAAAACGGGTCGATTTTGTTGCGGGGTCAGAAGCGATTCGCATTGGTCGATACGATCAAAGATGTTTTTTTGCGTCAATTCGTGTGGCACCCACACATCGAACTTCTTAGTCACTCCAAGCTTCTTCAAATGGTTTATAACGGTTTGATGAATCATGACCAGCTCTTGACCGATGCTACGGCTGCTACTATGCCGGTCTCTTTCGACCGATTCAGAGATTTTATCGCAATTTTCGACGACAGGCCTTCCGGAGCGTGGCGCATCTTCGACCACCTCTACACCAGAACGGAACGTTGAAACCATCATCGTGCGGTGGAAATGGAAATTGTATCGGGTCCATAAACAAATTTTATTGGCGGCTTGAGATCCATTTTTGCCTTTATCGTAGAAGTACTGCAAAATATGCCGTATTTTCTCTTTATTTTGCTCCATGTTTGCGACGCTATAACTCACGAAYGACTTAAAAGAAACGACAATCAATCAAACACGTGTTAGCGCATGAAATGAGCCTTCCAAAAAGGTATAGCATGACCCGATGCGACGAATAAAACTAGGACTACGCGCTCTCAGCGCCAATTAGCGAAAATACCGCAAGACTTTTTTGACAACCTAATAATTCGGGCCAAGTTTTTGGAAGATATCTCGTCAATTAAAAAAAATCCCATATAAGAACCTGATTTTGTTAGATCAGTTAATATGGGAACTATATGATATAGTAGTCTGATATTGGTCGTCCGATATTTCTTCAAATGACCTAGTTCTTGGCGAGATAAGGCCGATTACAAAATTTCAGATCGATTTCTTAAAAACTGAGGTACTAGCTCGCTTATACACAGGCATACGGGCAGTCAGAGGGAAGTCGGCTAAATTTCGTCACGCTCATTGTTTATATATGTATTTTATAGGGTATCCGAAGTTTCCTTCTGGTTATTACCAACTTCTTGACAAAATTAATATACATACAGTGTTCAGGGTATAATTATGCATCTATGTATACGTGCTCTAATTTTGACTATCGGTGAACAGCTGTTGGCCAAATATTAATAGAGAGGGCGGTTAGCGTGAGAAGGTGCTCGTACTGAATGTAGTATTTTATAGGAACTAGATGTGTGGCAGAAACTGCTGAGTTCGAGTGAAATCGATTATAACACAGCTGCACAAAAAATATATGTTTTTGTTGCGCTAGATATATTAGCAAATTTTGATGGTTTTAAGTGTCCAGATTACGAACTTATTCACGCAAATATTGAATGCGCTCTTGTCTTTATGATATTGGCAGTTTTTACATTTTGATCTAATATCGGCTTATGTTATACATACATATCGTCACCTAAAATGCAAAATAACGTAACAACATTTTCGAAAATTTACAGTGACGTGAATGAAACACGAAATAAAATGGAACAAGAGTGAAAAAAAAATTTGAATATTGGTTAAAACTGGTTCATATATAAGCGCAGAATCTGAAAATGTTGGATAGATGTAATATTATGTATAGAATTTGAAATAGTGAATCGTAATCAATAGGATACTCAATTTCGAATTTTTTGATGATACGTTATTTTGCATTTTAGACGATATGTACATTAGGGTGATACTAAAGAAAACTTTTTTTTCATTCGGTACTCTGAAAAATAGGTTTCTAGACACCTCTAAGGAGCCTCTCCAATGAGTTCTTAATTGTAACGGGATGGTCCTCCTACTTACAGTTTTCTATTTTTTACTTATTATGAGATAGAAAAATTTATATCTCGCTTCCTACCACATCAAAAAATATTTTGTTGTTTAGATTTTGTAGGAAATTGAATGCTCTACAAAAAAGGTTTCATACAAAATTTTTTCGCAAACCGAATCGTTTAAAAGATAACGGTTGAAATTTGATTATTTTTGGGAAAATTTTTTATTTCTTAAAATGATGATGAATGAAACTTATAGGATTTTGGAGAGGTATCTAGGAGTCTATTTTTCAGAGTACCAAACGAAAAAAAATAATTTTTTTTTGAATCACCCTAATGTACATATATAAAAATTAATCGCAAAATGTGTTGCTAAGCGCATAACTCAACAACGCCTGGACCAATTTAGCCAATTAATTTTTCTTAATGTTCGTTGAAGTTCAAGGCTGGTTTTTACGGCAAGAAAATTTCGAATAGTTGCCGGGGAAACCCCTAAAATCAACGATTTTCTTTTTCTCATACAAACGAATGAATGTCTGTTTGTTAGTAATGCTAAGAGAACGGCTGCACCAATCTTGGTGACATTTTCAAAGGTTGTTCGTGGTGAATAGGGAAAGGTTTAGAAATAAAAGTACCTTTTGCTTCTTGTGAGGTAAAATCTGAAAATTGGACAATTCCAAAAATTTATCTTTTTCCATAATTTTTTTTTTTTTAATTTTTGTTGGTTTTGTTTTTCAATATTTTAATTTGTAAATTATTTGAACCATTCAGTTTTGGTCGCTTGCTTTTTTATTCCTACTATTCAAAAGAAAAATTATTGAAAATTATTCAGTGAAAACTTTATCTGTGTTTTACACAAAGAGATCAATTGCAGATTGAAATTTCTTACGAAGCCACGAAGAGGTCGCGCTAATATCGGTCGGCGTTCTTTTTGCCATCAACGCACAAAGCACATGACCGCGTATTCCCAGGATGCAATGACATACGCGCGGAATTATAGATCGCTTTCAATCAGCAAGCGATCGACATGAAGTCACAGCATGACTTTTCAAACAACATTTACGATGTCTGATCATTTTTTTAAAAATACAAAATTTTTGAAAATTTTTTTGTTTGTTATTTTTATCCATTGTAAAAATCGCAACGCACTACTGAGTACCGACTTAAGCAGCTGCTGAAAACGAACTGATTGACACATCGCGCTCATATTTGTCATAGTAATTAGGGACAGTCCTCACAAAATCCATTTTTTGAAATGTCCTTTACCCGGTAAAATTAAATTACAATTTCCGGGTACTTTTCACAATGTCGAAAGGTCAGAATGTGTTAAAATATTTCTAAAGGGGGTTTCAAAACAGTCTCATAACATGCGCTATAGAAATCACTACTATATTCTTTAACTTGTATATGTGAACCTACCATACCTAGCATATACGAAATCGTTGAAAATGAAGACCAGAACTGTACAGGAGGCAGCGAAAAATATTCCTCAGATCTTTTTCCTGAAACTATTTTTAATTTTTTTTTTTTTCAAATTACAACTAGAATTTATCCAATCCGCATTTATGTTTTCTTGATCTTGATTGGTGCGCAGCAAGTGCGATAATGAGGTTGTGCTATTACAAACAACCGGTAACGGAACACACACCACTACAAATGTGCTGTGCAACAGCTACGCTTATTTATAAAAATGCTGCTGTGAGACTTTACGACCACGTTTATTTAAGCGAGATTTAATGTCGATAAGTTTTTGTAATGTGTTTAA